GCCCCACGGGACTCGCTGCCCCGCTGTGGGACATCCCGCCCGGCTGTCCCAGCCCCACAGCCACCCATCACCCCGCACTCACCAATTCCCAGTCCTGATTCACCACGACCAGGGAGGCCCCGTGTCTCGAGCACTGCTCCTGGCTCCAGCTCCAGTTGCCTTGCTCCTGCTGCCCCGACAGGTAGTAGCAGACGTTGCAGTACCCAACCCATTTGGAAGGGCACGCCAGCACCGGGGCTGTCTCCTGCCCTGGTCTGGTTGCTGCAGAGCAAAGAGGACATTAAATGAGGTTATAGCAAGAGGGGGATCGGGCTCTTCTCCCTCCCCAGTGGTAAGACAAGGGGGGAGTCTCCCAAGCTACACCAGGGGAGGTTGAGGTTGTATATTAGGAGGAATTTCTTTACCAAAGGGGTTGTGGCATTGGAACGGGCTGCCCAGGGAAGTGGTTGAGTCACCATCCCTGGAGGTCTTCAAGACACGGGTAGGTGTAGAACTCAGGAGCATGGTTTAGTGGTTAAAGGTTGGGCTGGATGATCTCAGAGGGCTTTGCATAGCATGGCTCGGGTTGGGAGGGACCTTACAGATCACCCAGTTGCAACCCCGGCTAGTTCTATAACCCGGCTGCAGGGGGCACGGACAGCTCTGTGTAGAGGGGTGGGATGGTGGTGGCCACTCTGCCCTTACCTATCTGCACAACAATGATAGAAATCAGCATCACGGTCAGGATTATCAGCATATTCCGCTGTCGCTCGGTTGTGCAAACCCTGCCTGCAGCAGAAGGAAAAGATATTTGTGGTGAGGACACTGCCCTCACATCGCCAGCACGACCAGAAGGCCATGCCAGGGGGATCACGGACACCCCTCGACCCCGTTTCCCTCCTCCTTGGCACGGGGTTCACCCCCACAAGTGCTGCAGCAGCGGGAGGACAGCTCAAAACCCAGCTGGGCACTGGCCCTGCACTCACCCAGGCATCTTTGGGACCTGTTTCTGCCTGTGGGTGCAGCATCTGTGGGCATCTCAACAGAGTGGGTCACCGCCGTGTCCTGGGAGTCCTGGGGCTGGTCGGGGTCCTCATATTGGGAGGTGAGGCCACTCTGCTCGTCTTGCACCGTAGTGTTCACCGATCCAGGAGTGCTTAGCACGTCAGAAGGCATTGGTGCTGCTAAAAAAAAAAAAAACAAACATAGAAGGCAAGGCTCGGATGCGGTTCCCCTCCCCTGCAAGCCCAGCAAGCGGGGTGATGAGGTGGAAAAGCGAGGCTGAAGGAGCGATCCCTGGTCGGCAGCAGACAGCAGCACCACGAGACTCAGCCCCGTAGCTCCACCAGTGTGCACCCAGCCGTTGAGAAATGCCAAGCATATTGTGCAAGGTGTGTTAAGTATCTTCAGAAAAGGAGAAGTGGGAAGGAGTTTGCAATGTCTGCAAAAAGATTCACGCAGCCGTTGCGGTTGAGGTTGAGTTCCGACAGGACAAGTTGAAACGGAACAATTTGGGCAACGTGGAGGGTTTTATGGCTGTCTTCAACCACACGCTGTGGCATGTGAGCTCACCTGATGCAGTTTTGGCATTGAAAGTGAAGGCAGAGAAGAAGAGGGGAGCAGAAAAAAAAAAGGGGGAGCAAAAAAAACCTAAAACCAAACAAACAAACAAAAAACAAACAAAAAAACAAACAAAAAAAAAAAAAAAAAAAAAAAAAAAAGGGGGAACAAAAAAAACAACCAAAATGAACAGCAACAAAAAAGAGGCAAAAAAAAAAAAAAAAACACATTGAAAACACACAAAGAAAGGCGAGAAAGAGACAAAGAATTGAAAGAGGGTGGAAAAACAGGAGAAGGGGATTCTCTCTGATTCATCCCATTTCTGGGACGGGGGAGAGAATCAGAAAAAAAAAAATAAATTAAGCCTGTGGGTTGAGATAGAGACGGTTTATTAGGGCAGCAAAAAAAAGGAAAATAAAAATAATAATGGGAATAGCACTACTACTACTAATGTGTACAAAACAAGCGATCCTCTAAGTGTTCAGGGTCTGAGCAGGGCAGGCGATGAACTCATCCAGTGCGTATTCCCTCGAGCTAAGCTCAGGATCGTGAGAACAAAAATGTTTTTTTTTTGCACCAGAATTAGAAACATGGGAAGCAGAGGAAGTGCCAGGGAGGTGGGCGGCGTCACAGCTCCGTGAGGGCTGGGAATGGATGCAGAAAAAGAGAAAAGAAGCATTTTGGGGACCTCTGCTGTACGGTACCCCATAGCTCTGGGGGCACAAGGGGAAGGGGAGAGCACGCGGGGGTGATGTGTGTCCTCTGAAGGCATTTGTTTTGGGAACTCCAGATGGATTTAGAGGTGGCTGGATGGAAAAATTGAGAGCCTGTCCTCACCCCTCCAAATATCCCACAAGCGCCCCCCCCCGAGCAAGATCTCACTTTCCTCCAGCATTACCACATTTATAGATTTATGTAGAGGTGGAGGGCCAACAAAGCCCCCCGGGTGTGAGGAGTTTTGGAGATCTGGGGGGAAATGTAGGGAAAAAGTGGGTGGGAAAAGGGTTTGTGGTTTGCAGGAGGGTGAGGGAAGGAAAAGGGGACAGGAAGATGCACGGGGCAGAGGCACCGGAGTGGGGGAGAAAGGAGCAGGGGCAGGCTGAGGAGCTGCAAGAAAATTCACCCAGCACCGCAGCAGCAGCAACTTTCAAAAAGAAAAGGAAGAGTTTTGGGAAACGTGAGGTTTTCGAGGCTCTCCTCGGCGAGCCACGGCGCTGCGTGCGCCCTTCGGGTGCAAAGTTCATTGAAAGAAGGGAGCGAGCGAGAGGAGAGTGAGAAAATAAATAAATAAATAAATAAAACACAGCACAAATGCAAAAAGAAAGGCGAGGGAGTGCGAAGAGGGTGGGAAAAGGGGCAAAGGAGCACATAACGAAGTAATTAAATAAACTTTAAAGCAATGAAAGAAAAAAAGTTGGGAAGCCCGCCCTGGCTGGCTGCTCCTTTCCTTCCCGTTTCAGCCTCGAGCCGAGTGCTGCTCGCTCAGCTGGCCCCGAATTTCGCTGCTCAGAGGCGAACTTACCTTCCGAGTGTCTTCTCCGGTGTGGATTGTTGCAATAATGTGCGGAGATTAAATAAATCACAAAGGACAGCCCCCCCGTTACGTAAGTGGTTGCTTTTGCCCAATGCCACGCCTACGCCGCCACATATACGAAATATAAATAGTTAAATAAAAAAAAGCAACTCAGATGACTCAAAAGCTAACTCCTTGCTGCTTGGAGTTGCCCTCATGATGTTATCCTGCTGCCAAAAGAGGAAGGGGAGCAAATCTCTGATGCTTTTGATGAAGAAACCCCGTTCATTTGAAACATCGGTGCAGAAGCAGAGAGGGGGAGAAATAATGGCAAAAACCTCCAGATGCTGCATTTTTTTTTTTTTTTTTTTTTTACTGCTCTGACAAAATGTCCCTTCAAAGGGGTGGATGAATGTTGCTTCAACTTCCCTCTTCTGAGGGCAAAACGGTGATTTTGTTTTTTTTGAGGTCTGGTTAGCCCGACCACATATTTTTAGGGCGCGTATTCCTTCGGGTGCGTATCCTTTGGGGTGCATATCCTTTAGGCTGCGTATCCAAATAGCCTTTTTTTTTCCCCCTCAGAACAGAATTATCTTTTTTCTTATTTATTTATTTATTTATTTATTTATTTATTTTTTCCTTGAGGGTGGAGAGGGCAAGGGGGCAGACAGAGCGACGACAACTCCTTGATGACCACGACGTTTTTTCGCGGCGTGAAAAAACAATCTGTAGCTGTGACTTGCTACAGTGACAGAAGGACAGGAAAAAACAAAGAACAGTGCTTCATTTTTATTATTATTATTATTTTATCTAGCCAGTGTTTACAATGGTTATAGATATCCCTTGTCTTCCAGGATTATCCCTCTCAGTCCTTTCCTTGTGGTTAGTTTCCGATGTCCATCTGTGGTAGCTAAAACTTGCAAAATCACCATGGGGTGACTTCTCTAGACCTGCTATAGTTCTACAGTTAGCCCTTTAGCATCTATTCCTTCCTTCAGGGCCATATCCCCCATTTACATACATGGCTCATGCAGCATGTATTATTGAAGACAACGAAGAGAAGGTTCATTAACGCACATCGGATGCTCGGCCCTTGCCTGGAGCCGAGTCAAGGAGCGAGAGAAGAACGAGAAAAAAATAAATAGATAAATAAAACACAGCACAACACCCGAGGAGCATGAGTCACGTTTTTGCAGGAAGACAAAGCAGCCACTTTCTCACATTTCCCCTGAGCGTCCGTTGCAGAACTTGAAAGGTTGAGGATTGTGGTTTTTGGTGGTTTGGGTCGATTTCCCTAGATGTGCTCCTCTGGTGGATGCGGTGGTGTAATGGCTTAACCCGACTGACAGCTAAGCACCACTCAGCCAGTTCTCCCCCCACATCCCCTCCCTGCCCTTTGGTACTGGGGAGAGAATAAAAATAAATAAATAATAAATTAAAATGAAAGCTTTTGGACTGAGATAGAGACTGTTTCTTAAGACAAAAAATAAATGATTTTTTTTAGAAATAAATGGTGTGGAATACCCTTTTGGACAGTTTGGGGCAGTTGTCCCGGCTCCTGCTGCACCCCCAGCCTGCCCCGTTGCAGGACAGAGCGAGAAGCTGAGAAGTCCTTGGCTTGGTGTAAGCTCTGCGACAATTAAGTCATCAGCGTGATATCAACATTCTTCCCATCCTAAATCCCAAACACAGCACCATACCAGCTACAAAATGAGCACTGGGCGAGCACGTTTGGACTGAGCGAGTGAGCTTGGGGCTCTGCTAAGCGGGCTGTAGGGTTCTCGTGGGGATGTTGCCACCTGCTGTTTCCATCAGGCAGCACCACTTGCTTACGAGGCATCCCTTGCTTACAAACCACCCCAAAAGCTTTCTCTATTCACCTTTTTAACCAGACTTTAGATATACATTTATTTATTTACATCTATTGATTCAAAGATCGAAGCCGAAATTTCTAAGTGACGAAAAATGCTTTATTGTCAGTGCTGGATGCACAGGGGATCCTTCCACCTAACGTGCATGTTCGAAGTAACAAACTATCTCATATTTATACAGAAAAACAACGAATATTCAATCAATGCCTATACATATTCATTACCTAAACCCGCCTGCTCTCGCTTCATATGCTAATTAGCTTATCAGTCCTTGCGCAAAGCCTCCCAAGAATTGCGGGCAGGGGTCTTCAGGACGTGGGCAGTGGTCTTTGGGAGGAAGACCGTGTAGGGAATCATGGATGTAGATCATGGAGAGCTGGTGGGATGATTCCCAGGACTGGAGCGTGGCTGTTGATGGCTATGAACTGTTCAGAAGGGAGGAAATAATTCCTGTATTAGGAATTGGATAGATTGTGAAGAGCTCTGCCTGAGAAACAGCCATGACCAGGTGGAGAGCTCGGGGGTGAAAATCAAGGATCAGTCCGGTAAAGGACCGGTGGTTGGGGTCTGCTACAGCCCACCTGATGAGTATGTTGGCGAGGTCTTGATTCAACTACAACTGTTGTGCTCACAAGCTCTTGTCCTGAGGAGGATTTCAACCACCCAGATATCTGCTGGGATAGCGGCATGGCGAGATCCAGATAATCCAGGAGATTCCTGGAGTCCTGGTCCAGGTAATAGACGGACCGACACGACGTGTAACCTTACTAAACTTGGTGCTCACCAGTGTGGAAGAGAGCTTCACAGAGGTTACGATTGCCTGGTGACGACCACTACCTGGTGGAGTTGGTGACCCTGAGGAATACGGGTCTGGCAAAAACCAGAGTCAGGACCCTGAACTTCCAAAAAGAGGACCCTGAACTTCAGGAGAACAAACTTCTGTCTGCTCAAGGAATTACTGGCTGGGATCCACCAGGAAACTGTCCCTAAGGCCATAGGAATGGAACACATGCACGTATATACGTGTATAAATATATATTTCACAGACTAACAAAATTTTGGAATCAGAAGGGAACTTGAAAAATCATTTTGTCCATATAAAAATAATAATAATAACAATAATAATAACATGGGCTACAACAAAGTGCAATGTGGTCGATGCTCTTCAGATGACGTGGAGAACAGCATCCCCAGGTCTGGTCCATAAGGTTTGGGTCTTGTTCAGCTCTGATATTTGTCATCACCTCTTCCATCTGAGGTTCCATCCTTAGTCATCAAGCTTCAGTTTTGACCTCAAAACCACAGATGCAAACACTTTAAATGATTTCTGAAGAGCATCATCCTTCATCAATGAGAGGTGCCACCAGTGCCCAGCACGGGGAAGGTCCTTTCTCCGCAACCATTCTCAGGAGCTGCCCCCGCAGCCTGGGGCTTGCTGCAGATATAAGGCCGGCTCTGCCAACAGCTTGAGGTCGCCATGTCCTCGCCATTCAAGTAGACGCACTCTGCGCTGCCCTGCACCGGGAACCTGCAACGACAAGGAATGCCACTGCAGCCTTCTGCACTTCCCATGCCCTCCAGCAGCAGTGCACAGCCACGGCACACCGGGGCCATCAGGCTCTGCCCTCTCGCAGGACTCACGTCAAATTGAAGCTGCTGCCATCCACCCACAGCAGCTGTTCACCCCGTCTCCGCAGCCCAAGCCAGGAATCCCCGTTGTCTTTGAATTGTCTCAGAAATTGCTGGGCGGCAAGGAGAAAGGCAGACAGTCAGAAGCTGCTGGAGCACCGCGCTCCATCAGCCCCACGGGACTCGCTGCCCCGCTGTGGGACATCCCGTCCGGCTGTCCCAGCCCCACAGCCACCCATCACCCCGCACTCACCAATTCCCAGTCCTGATTCACCACGACCAGGGAGGCCCCGTGTCTCGAGCACTGCTCCTGGCTCCAGCTCCAGTTGCCTTGCTCCTGCTGCCCCGACAGGTAGTAGCAGACGTTGCAGTACCCAACCCATTTGGAAGGGCACGCCAGCACCGGGGCTGCCTTCTGCCCTGGTCTGGTTACTGCAGAGCAAAGAGGACATTAAATGAGGTTATAGCAAGAGGGGGATCAGGCTCTTCCCCCTCCCCAGTGGTAAGACAAGGGGAGAGTCTCCCAAGCTACACCAGGGGAGGTTGAGGTTGTATATTAGGAGGAATTTCTTTACCAAAGGGGTTGTGGCATTGGAACGGGCTGCCCAGGGAAGTGGTTGTCACCATCCCTGGAGGTCTTCAAGACACGGGTAGGTGTAGAACTCAGGAGCATGGTTTAGTGGTTAAAGGTTGGGCTGGATGATCTCAGAGGGCTTTGCATAGCATGGCTCGGGTTGGGAGGGACCTTACAGATCACCCAGTTGCAACCCCTGCCAGTTCTATAACCCGGCTGCAGGGGGCACGGACAGCTCTGTGTAGAGGGGTGGGATGGTGGTGGCCACTCTGCCCTTACCTATCAGCGCAACAATGATAGAAAACAGCATCGAGTTCAGGATTATCAGCATATTCCGCTGTCGCTCGGTTGTGCAAACCCTGCCTGCAGCAGAAGGAAAAGATATTTGTGGTGAGGACACTGCCCTCGCATCGCCAGCACGACCAGAAGGCCATGCCAGGGGGATCACGGACACCCCTCGACCCCGTTTCCCTCCTCCTTGGCACGGGGTTCACCCCCACAAGTGCTGCAGCAGCGGGAGGACAGCTCAAAACCCAGCTGGGCACTGGCCCTGCACTCACCCAGGCATCTTTGGGACCTGTTTCTGCCTGTGGGTGCAGCATCTGTGGGCATCTCAACAGAGTGGGTCACCGCCGTGTCCTGGGAGTCCTGGGGCTGGTCGGGGTCCTCATATTGGGAGGTGAGGCCACTCTGCTCGTCTTGCACCGTAGTGTTCACCGATCCAGGAGTGCTTAGCACGTCAGAAGGCATTGGTGCTGCTAAAAATAAAAACCAAAACATAGAAGGCAAGGCTCGGATGCGGTTCCCCTCCCCTGCAAGCCCAGCCAGCGGGGTGATGAGGTGGAAAAGCGAGGCTGAAGGAGAGATCCCCGGTCGGCAGCAGATTCACGCAGCCGTTGCGGTTGAGGTTGAGTTCCGACAGAACAAGTTGAAACGGAACAATTTGGGCAACATGGAGGGTTTTATGGCTGTCTTCAACCACACGCTGCGGCATGTGAGCTCACCTGATGCAGATTTGGCATTGAAAGTGAAGGCAGAGAAGAAGAGGGGAGCAGAAAAAAAAAAAGGGGGGAACAACAAAAAAAAACAAAATGAACAGCAACAAAAAAGAGGCAAAAAAACAAAAAAAAAAACAAAAAAAAAAAAACAAAAACAACAGTGAAAACACAAAGGCAAGAAAGAGACAAAGAATTGAAAGAGGGTGGAAAAATGGGAGAGGGGGATTCTCTCTGATTCGTCCCATCTCTGGGACGGGGAAGAGAATCAGAAAAAAAAAAATAAATTAAGCCTGTGGGTTGAGATAGAGACGGTTTATTAGGGCAGCAAAGAAAGGAAAATAAAAATAATAATGGGAATAGCACTACTACTACTAATGTGTACAAAACAAGCGATCCTCTAAGCGTTCAGGGTCTGAGCAGGGCAGGCGATGAACTCATGCAGTGTGTATGCCCTCGGGCTAAGCTCAGGACCGTGAGAACAAAAATGGTTTTTTTTGCACCAGAATTAGAAACATGGGAAGCAGAGGAAGTGCCAGGGAGGTGGGCGGCGTCACAGCTCCGTGAGGGCTGGGAATGGATGAAGAAAAAGAGAAAAGAAGCATTTTGGGGACCTCTGCTGTACGGTTCCCCGTAGCTCCGGGGGCACAGGAGGATGGGGAGAGCACACAGGGCTGATGTGTGTCCTCTGAAGGCATTTGTTTGGGGACTTCCAGATGGATTTAGAGGAGGCTGGATGGAAAAATTCAGAGCCTGTCCTCACCCCTCCAAATATCCCACAAGCGCCCCCCCCGAGCAAGATCTCACTTTCCTCCAGCATTACCACATCTATGTAGATTTTCCTCATCTCTGGGACGGTTCAGTTCTTTTTTGTTAGGGTGAGGTTTTTTGCAGTCTCCTTTCCCCATGGCTAGCAAGAAAATAGGTCCCACCGATCACGTGTACGTGTCCTGTCCCGATGCCGTGACTGCCGGAGCACCCTGCGATAGCAAGGAGAGGGTTGAGCGTTGGGGGGCCAGCAAAGCCCCCCAGGTGTGTGAGGAGTTTTGGAGATCTGGGGGGAAACGAAGGGAAAAAGTGGGTGGGAAAAGGGTTTGCGGTTTGCAGGAGGGTGAAGGAAGGAAAAGGGGACAGGAAGATGCACGGGGCGGAGGCACCGGAGTGGGGGAGAAAGGAGCAGGGGCAGGCTCAGGAGCTGCAAGAAAATTCACCCAGCACCGCGGCAGCAGCAACTTTCATAAAGCCAGCTGAAAAGGAAGAGTTTTGGGAAACGTGAGGTTTTTGAGGCTTTCCTTGCCGAGCCACGGCGCTGCGTGCGCCCATCGGATGCAAAGTTCATTGAAAGAAGGGAGCGAGCGAGAGGAGAATGAGAAAAAAAATAAAATAAATAAATAAAACACGGCACAAATGCAAAAAGAAAGGCGAGGGAGTGACGAAGAGGGTGGGAAAAGGGGCAAAGGAGCACATAACGAAGTAAATAAATAAACCTTAAAGCAATGAAAGAAAAAAAAGTTGGGAAGCCCGCCTTGGCTGGCTGCTCCTTTCCTTCCCGTTTCAGCCCCGAGCCGAGCGCTGCTCGCTCAGTTGGCCCCGAATTTCGCTGCTCGGAGGCGAACTTACCTTCTGAGTGTCTTCTCCAGTGTGGATTGTTGCAATAATTTGCGGAGATTAAATAAATCACAAAGGACAGCCCCCCGTTACGTAAGCTGTTGCTTTTGCTCAATGCCACGGCTATGCCTTCACATATTGAAAGTAACTAATTAAATAAAAAAAAGCAACTCAGATGACTCAAAAGCTAACTCCTTGCTGCTTGGAGTTGCCCTCACGATGTTATCCTGGCTGCCAAAAGAGGAAGGGGAGCAAATCTCTGATGTTTTTGATGAAGAAACCCCGTTCATTTCAAACATCCTGTCCCCGGTGCGGAAGCGGAGAGGGGGAGAAATAATGGCGAAAACCTCCAGATGCTGCATTTTTTATTTATTTTTTTTTACTGCTCTGACAAAATGTCCCTGCAAAGGGGTGGATGAATGTTGCTTCAACTTCCCTTTTCTGAGGGCAAAACGGTGATTTCATTTTTTTTGAGGTCTGGTTAGCCCGACCACATATTTTTAGGGCGTGTATTCCTTCGGGTGCGTATCCTTTGGGGTGCGTATCCTTTAGGGTGCGTATCCTTTAAATAGCCTTTTTTTTCCCCCTCAGAACAGAATTATCTTTTTCTTATTTATTTATTTATTTATTTATTTTTCCTTGAGGGTGGAGAGGGCAAGGGGGGGAGACAGAGCGACGACAACTCCTAGATGACCACGACAGTTTTTCGCGGCGTGAAAAGCCAATCTGTAGCTGTGACTTGCTACAGCGACAGGAGGACAGGAAAAAACAAAGAACAGTGCTTCATTTTTATTATTTATTTATTTATTTATTCAGTTTGGTTTGGTTTTGTGCTTCTTTTTTTGCAAGAAAATCCTGGAAGAACATAGCCGGAAAGCTGTGCACAGGCAGGGGCTGAGCAAAGGCACCTGGCAGAGCAGGGAAGACAGGATTAAATGCTGGTGTTAATAAAAAAAAATAGAAATAGCTAAATTAATTAATCAATTAAACACTTAGCTGTTTTCAAGCATGTGTGCATTTTTTACTGGAATCGCAACGAAGCAGTGCCTTGTATCCATCAAAGGGATTTTATCTGGGCTCGCACCAGGATGGGGAAAAACACTAAAAGACACAAAAGCACCTTTTTTTTTGGCCGTGAGATAGCGCAAGACCCGAGTCTGCCCCTATCTTCTCATTAGGGATGTAATTTACAGGGCGGGCTGTGAGCCTGGGGGAGGCAGGAGGATCTTGTGCCCCTCACCCGGGCACCAGGCGAGGGTGTTGGTGACCCCAAAAACTTTCAGGAGCATTGAACGGCCGTGAGCTGAGGCAGGAAGCTCCGGCCCCGCTGCTGGTTCGCACTTCACCAGTGCAGCTCTGAGCATTTTGGTTTCCTGTCCTCCGGACTCCATTGTGTCCACTCCACCTGCTGTGTGTCCTCCTGCCATGGAGGATGAGGATGGCTACATGGCCTTGGACAGGCGATGCAAGCGGGATGCTGCGGAGAGGCCGGGACCCCTCCGGGATGCAGGTAGCGGGGTCCGGTCCTCCGTCCCCACCACGGGTTTGTGGTGGCGAGAGGATACCTCGGGTGGCGACTGCTTGGCGGGGGGAAGAAGCGGGGTGGCGCAGCTCTTGGGGTCCCAGAGAGTCGCTCAAGCTGGGGAAATTGAGAAGGGGATTTGGGGGGACGCTTGTCTGTGGTTTTTGGACACCCCACGGCACCCAGACGCTGGCTGCTGGCGCCCCCGTTTCGCTCCCATCTTGTCACCGTCGGGCTTGGCTGCGTCCCCCAAAACCCTTTTGCTCTGAAGAAGAGGGATTTTGGGGCACCCCCCGAGACAGAGAACAGGGCTGACGGATGCTCTCGGCCCCCCCACTTCTCCTTTTGTGTCCCTTCCCCTGGCTGCAGGCCCTGCCACAAGGGACCCCGAGCCAGGCTTCGCCCCCCGGTGGATTCGCACCCCCATGCGATCCCCCCGCTGCCTCCTCGGGGCCCTGGTGGCTGTTCTGCTGCTGTCCTTTGCGATATGCGGTGAGTCGACACCCCTGGGGCGTCCTTTTTCTGGGGTGCTGGGGCCTGGGGACACCCCCGTTTGGGCTCAGGGTCCCTCTCCCCCAGTGTCTTGGCTGCTGGTGGAGAGGCACCAGGGGGCTGTGGGGTGCGGGAACGCGTCGCAGGGACAAAGTTTTGCCACCCTGGGCTGCACCCACCTGGGGCTGAGGACGAGCTTGTGCCCCCCCGGAGGTAACCCCCTTAAAATATTGCATAAAATATTGTCTGAACCCCGCTACCACCCACCCCGTGGCGCTGTGGTGGGGTTGTTTGCATGGCTGTTTGTCTGTCTGTCTGTCTGTCTGCAGACGGTGGGGGCTGCGAGCTGTGTCCTGTGGGGTGGACGCTGCACAGGAGGAAGTGTTTTTGGGTCACCAGCAAGAGCAGCTCCTGGAGGGAGAGCCGGGAGAATTGCAGCCATCAGAGAGCCCAGCTGCTGGTGCCAGAGGACCAGGGCGAGCTGGTAACGGGGCTGATACTGGCTAGGATGTGGGACGGGGCTCAGGGTTGCACCCGAGGGGATGTGGGGTCCAGAAATTTGGGTTCCGCACCCATAGGGTGCAGGGATGGGTGCCCAAACCTCTGGGGGGATGCCAGCGGGGCTCCTGGCTGGGTGGGGGAGCCAGTTTTGGGGACAGCAAACAACACCGTAGTCACCAGCCCCGTTTCCTCTCGTAGGACTTCCTAAATCGAGTCATACAGAAACCCACACGCTACTTCTGGATCGGCCTCTCCCAGCCCTCTGTGGGGATGGCTTGGACCTGGCTGGATGGCTCCCGCCTGGACCAGAGCCGGTGAGAGCCTGGGAGAGAAGCCTGGAGGGGATGGATGGGGGAATGGACACCCCCAACGTCCCCTCAGGGACCCCCGGGAGGTGCCACGGGATCTCTCTCGCACCCTCAGGTTCAACCTGAGCACCCCGAACGCCAGCGGAGCCTGCGGGGCGCTGAGGGAGGACAGGATCATCTCGGAAACCTGCGGCTCCGCCTTGGCGTGGATCTGCCAGAAAGAGGCCGTCCTGCTCTGAGCAACTTGGGAAAAAAATATAAAAAAATAACAACAAAAAAAAAAAAATTAAAAAAACACATTTCTTTCAAAATAAAGTCCCTTCTCACCCCTGCGGGCTTTGTGTTGTCTGCTAGGGCTGCCGTATTTTCAGCACGCAGGGGGCATTTTGGAAAGGGATGGCTGGTGTGAAGAGGGGGAGAAATGAGGTTCTGGGGTTTTGGGGGAGGCAGGTGAAAAGGCAGCTTTTTTCTTTTTTCTTTATTTATTCTGCAGGTGGGATGAGCCCTGAAAAAATCAGGGTTGCACAAGCTGACGTTTTCATACGATTCCTGGAAAAAAAAAAGAAAAAAAAGGCCTTTTTTCTCTCTGTAGCCATTGGCAACCTTCTTCTCGTTGTGGCTGGTGGTTTGCAAGATCGGGCTTGCACAGGCTGACATTTTCACACAGTTTCTGGCAAAAAAAGAAATTACAACAATCCCCAGGGGTAAAAACCACAATGACTGATTCTCTTGCGGTGAAGACTAGGAGGAGGACGTCAGTCATAAAAGCAAAGAAATGCCATGGGGGGAAATGGGAGAGGGGAAGGAGACGGAAAAGGGTGGGGCAAAAAAAAAGCCGTATTTGAAGATATTTGTTGCTTTCACTTTTGTAATGATGCCAAGAGTTGCACTGGCGAGTGGGCTGTGTGCAAAATAAGTTTAGGATAGAAAAAAAAAAGTGAGAAAGGAGCGATTTGGTCAAAAAAGGGGTGGTGTGGGGCAGGCTGCTGGGGAGGGAGGCAGACGCTGCCTCATGACTGCTCGTGAAGAGGATCCCACGCACACCTGGCTGTGGTGAAGCCTAAGTGGCACGTAATGTGGAATATTTCACAAGCAAATGCCCGAAATTGGGGATATTTCCCCCTATTTCAGCCCCCTTGGAGAGGCCTCCGCCATTACAGGGCTGAAGACTACAACTCCCATCATCCCCTGCGCGCGGGACCCGGATACAGGGGTGGGAGCGGAAGCAGCGCGGGAAGCTCAACGTGGACATCAGTGGCACGTGGAGGATGGTGGAGAGGTAGCTGAGGACCCCGGTGCTGTGGTAATGTACCTGCACGAAGGAGCGACGGAGACGAGTAAGCACCAGTCCTGTTTTTGGGATGCCACGGTGCTGCTGGAGGTCATGGCAGGGCTTAGAGCTACATGGGCGTAATTTAATTTAATTAAAATAGCTGGGGTGAGGGGCTAAAGAAGGGAAAGCTGTGAGAGGTATGGGATGGCCTGAGCTGTGGGTGTGGGTGCAATGCTCATATCCAAGCTTGAAGGGGATGGAGGTGATGCAATGAGCTCAGGCAGCCCTAAAAATCCTCGGAAGCCAATGGCAGCCTCTGAACTGAGCCTTTTCCCCGAGATATGTACTTTCTGGGTGTATTTTCAGGTGCTGGAGGGAATAGAGGGGCAGTGGGGAGCTCGGGGGCTCTTGGAGGCACTTGCACCCCGTGTTTGTTGACCGTGCCTCTCCTCCGTGCTCCATTGCTTTGTTCTCCCTCCAGCTTTTAGCCTCAAGTGCCTTAAGGACAAACTGATCCCCATCGGGGCCACCGTGCTCGTGACAGTGTTGCTGATTGCAGTCATTGCCCTGGCAGGTAAGAGGATGGAGATGGCCCTACCAGAATCCTCTCCTCCCCTTTGGAAAACCCAGTGGTGAGGATAGGGCAGAGGCTGGGCATGGGATGCCACGGGAAAACCTGGACGGGGGTAAAATTTGTCCCTAAAGGGGCCAAAACTGCCTTAAAACACTCAGCTCCAGGAGGAAGTTGCAGAAAGACCTTTATGGGGAGTGTTTATTTCAGCCCTAAGTGGCTTCTGGAGCTGAAAATGAATATTTTGAACATGAACAGAAAGGTGAAAACAACAAAAATGAAATGAGAAGTGGAAATGAACATGTTTTTTACGGGATTAGATCTCACAAATCATCACCACCGATTAAAATAAGCAGATTTCATTCTCCTTATTTCCAGCCAGGAAATGTCCGTCCTGCCCCTCTCCCATCCTTCCCACCTGCTCAGGAAACGGCATCGGGTTCAGGGAGAAATGCTTCCACTTTGTGGAGAACGAGACCAACTGGAACGAGAGCCAGAACGTCTGCCTCTCCCTAGGAGCCCAGCTGGCCACCATCGACAGCGAGGAGGACTTGGTAAAATGAGGGGTTTGCCGGGTGCTGGGGTGGCTTTTTGGGAAGCAGCTGTGGGGTTCCTTGGAGGATGTAAGGTGAAGATGGGCACAACATTTCTTCTTTGCTTTCCAGGGCTTCCTATTGCGCTACGGGCGTGCCTTGCATTACTGGGTCGGTCTGCATCAGGAGGGATCCGACCCCTGGAGATGGTGCAATGGGTCTCTTTTCAACAACCGGTACGTCATGGCTTCTTTTCCTCGCATTTTTTAATGGGCTGGGAGCAATTAACCACCCCTTCTTGTAATGCTTGGTCCTTAGGAAGCAGCTTGTGGATGCAGAGGGCATCCCTGGATGAACCCATATGGGATTAATCAACCAAAAATATTCCTTCCTTCATGGAAGGGGGCAGATTTAGCTTTGCATGGGGGTCATTGTCTGCTGGAAAGGATTCTTCCTCCTCCTTCCAGCACCGTTTGCTTATGTGGGAGATGCTCAGCCCCTTGACTTCTCCTTCTGCTACTCTGTGCAGGTTCGATATCCAGGGCAACGGCCAATGTGCCTACATCGACCTGGCTGGGGTCAGCAGTGACTGGTGCTCCCAGCAGAAGTATTTGGTCTGCAGCCACCCCCTGAAGAGTCCCAGGGGAGCGTAGAGGGGAGGAGAGCCCTGAGCTGTCCCTTGCAGCCTCCTACTGCATCCTGAAGTCGCCTCTGAATTTTCACTGTGAAGGTGATGAAGAGAAAGCTGCTGTAATTAAACCCACATGTGTAAGGTTCCTGATGGTAAATTATCTAAAGAAGTGTTACAAATTAATTCTCAACTCAATCTGAATATTTGTAAAAGGAATATTTTTTAAATAAATTTTTATAAAATGTATAAAAGACAAGAAAACATTGCTGGGTGTGTGGGGAGTCTACGCTCCACCAACACGCACACACAAACCTCAAACATTCTAAATATACAGAACATTGCTTTTACATACCAAACGTGTGTATGCCTTTACAATCAGGAAAGGTTCAACAATCCTTTAAGTTCCATGACTTACCAGTCTCTATTTTCCATTCCTTTTCTTGATTACAAACAAGTCTCTTCTTTTCATTCCTTTTGTACAATATGTCTCGCTTTAAGTTGTCAAGCAACTCGGTCTTTGGGCCTTATGTATCCCGTTCTTCCCGGATCGAAGAAAAACATTCCCATCTCCTTTTCAAGGTCAATAGGGCCTGGATCAAAAGGCACGTTCAGGTCAACAGGGAGCAGAACAGCAAAAGCCTTCCATGGCTGTAGCAGCAGAGGGACCGATGCCCTAGCAGTCGGATCAGCAAAGGAGCCCACAGCTCCCTCACTATCTGACAAACCACACGTTTCTGACTGTGGCCCCACATGGCTCTTTAAGGCCTCAGAGACTGCTTGCCAGGTGCCGAGCAATCCCACTGCAACCTTGTCATTTGTAGTTGCAGAGTCCCACACCTTGACTTCAGTTTGGTCCCATGTTTCAGGCTCATAAACTGTCCGATTGTTAAGAAGGAGAATAAGCTGTAAGGTTACCAGGACTTTGTTCCTAAGGACGTATGATTCCCCATAATGCACAACTTTTTACCAGTGAGAGGCAGTTGTGTGCACAGGTCCGCTTCTCTCAGCTCGAGCTTCTCTCCAGCTCCAGTGCACCTATTTCTAGCGACTTTCAGTCACTTCAGTCTCTGAGCATTTTGGTTTCCTGTCCTCCGGACCCCGTTGTGTCCCCTCCACCTGCTGTGTGTCCTCCTGCCATGGAGGATGAGGATGGCTACATGGTCTTGGACAGGCGATGCAAGCGGGGTGCTGCGGAGAGGCCGGGACCCTTCCGGGACACAGGTAGCGGGGTCCGATCCTCCGTCCCCACCACTTCTTTATGTGTTTTCACTGAGCGGTCAGCAATCCGTGTTCTTTCCAAATTACTCCATGAGCATGTACCATGCGGAATGTATATTTAGAATCTGTCCAAATATTTATTTTCCTTCCTGCTGCTAGTTGCAGTGCTCACGTAAGAGCAATTATCTGTGCTTTCTGGGTGGACGTCCCAGGGGGTAATGGTTTGGACTTGATTACCTGTTGAGTGGTTGTAATGGCATACCCTGCCTTACGTTGTCCTTGTTTCACAAAGCTGCTCCCATCAGTATACCAAGAGTCGTCAGCATCTTCTAAAGATTCTTCCTTAAAATCGGGTTGATTAGAATACACAGTGTCCATTGTTTCTATACAATCATGGGTTATGGGTTCATCCAGAGTTCCACTAAGGAAAGAAGCTGGATTTACGATGTTAGTGACCACAGTTTCCACATCATCTTGTTCTACTAATATTGCTTGATATTTTAAAATCATCAATTCTTGTTTAAGTTGTTTAAAGACTTTTTGTGCTTCTCCAGTCCAGACTAACTTTGACTGGTTAATCGTTATCAAATCACATAGAGGCTTTACCAATACTCCATAATTATAAATCCAAAGGCGACACCAACCTGTCATTCCTAAAAAGGTTTGTAGCTCCTTTACCGTTTGAGGTTCTGAGGTCCGGCAAATGACTTCCTTATATTCAGTTCCTAGTTGTCGTTGTCCTCCTGAAATTTCAAATCCCAGATAGGTCACCCTTTGTTGAGCCAGCTGGACTTTCTGTCAAGAGACTTGATATCCATTTAAACCCAGAAAATTAAGAAGACTTAGAGTCCATTGAATGCAACTCCCTTTAGTCTCGGTAGCTATTAAGAGATCATCTACATATTGTGACAAAGCACCTTCAGTGTCCGGAGGCATCCAAGTTTTGAGTTCCCTTGCTAATTGGTTTCCAAAAGTAGTGGGGCTATTCTTGAATCCTTGAGGCAGTGCTGTCCACGTAAGCTGCGTCTTTCTGCCTGAATTGGGATTTTCCCATTCAAAGGCAAATAGGTTTTGGCTTTCTGTGGCTAAGGTTAGGCAGAAGAAGGCATCTTTTAAATCCAGTACGGTAAACCAGACTTGGCTATTCTTTAATTTAGTCAGCAAAGCATAAGGGTTTGCCACTACTGGATGTATATCCTCGGTGATTTTATTTATGGCCCTCAAATCCTGAACTAACCTATAGCTTTTTCATCTGCCTTTTTAATTGCCAATATGGGTGTATTGTATTCTGATTCGCATTCAATCAATAATCCGTACTGTAAAAATTTATCAATTATCTCTTTAATTCCTTTCCTATCTTTCATATTATAATATTATAATATTTCACAACCAAATGCCCGAAACTGGGGATATTTCCCCATATTTCAGCCTCCTTGGAGAGGCCTCAGGCCTCCGCCATTACAGGGCTGAAGACTACAACTCCCATCATCCCCTGCGCGCGGGACCCGGCTCCAGGCTGGGCGGGCGCAAGGCGCAAAGCGCAGTGGCGGGGGCGGGGCGTCCGCCATTTTGTGCACGTATGTGACCAATGGGGGCGATGGGGAGGGGGTTGGCTCTCGGCTCTTAAAGGGGGCACGGCCCCAGGGTGGGGCCCCCTCGCGTTACCGTGGGGAAGGGCCCGGCGGAGGGGGGTCGGGCGGCGGGGGGAGCGTCGTGAGCGTCGTGAGGCTTTCCTCGCCGAGCCACGGCGCTGCGTGCGGCCATCGGGTGCAAAGTTCGGGCATTGAAAGAAGGGAGCGAGCGAGAGGAGAACGAGAATAAATAAATAAATAAATAAAAATAAATAAATAAATAAATAAAATTAAAATAAATAAAATTAAAATAAAAAATAATAAATAAATAAATAAATAAATAAAACACAGCACAAATGCAAAAAGAAAGGCGAGGGAGTGACGAAGAGGGTGGGAAAAGGGGCAAAGGAGCAAATAACGAAGTAAATAAATAAACTTTAAAGCAATGAAAGAAAAAAAGTTGGGAAGCCCGCCCTGGCTGGCTGCTCCTTTCCTTCCCGTTTCAGCCCCGAGCCGAGCGCTGCTCGCTCAGCTGGCCCCGAATTTCGCTGCTCGGAGGCGAACTTACCTTCTGAGTGTCTTCTCCGGTGTGGATTGTTGCAATAATGTGCGGAGATTAAATAAATCACAAAGGACAGCCCCCCCGTTACGTAAGCTGTTGCTTTTGCCCAATGCCTGGCCACGGCTACGCAGTCACATATAGGAAGTAAATAGTTAAATAAAAAACCCCGTTCATTTGAAACTGATTCAAAGATCGAAGCCGAAATTCCTTTAAGTGGTATATTCTTTATTGCAGCGCTGGATGCACGGGGGATCTCTCCACCTATCGTGCATACCCAAAGCGGAAAGCAGTCTTGAATTTCTACAATCAATCTATCAATATTCTACAAGCGCCTATACATATGCATTACCTATCCCCGCCTTCCCTCGCTTCTCATGCTAATTAGCCTTTTGGCACCTTACGCCTGCGTAGAGCCTCCCAAGAATTGTGGGCAGGGGTCTTTGGGACGTGGGCAGGGGTCTCTGGGAGGAAGACCCCGAGTCTTCCTCACAGTGTACTTTTCACCTTTGGTCAGGAATCTGCTGAATTGGCACGTTTCTTAATTGCGAGAGCTGGTTGTTGCCAATTCTTCCGTTTGTTGTATCTTTATAATGAATTCCAATGTCCAATTTTGAGATTTATAGTCCTTACATTTGTTTCTCTGTCCGTCTGCCGCTTCCTTATCATGAGTTCCAGTGTCTTGTTTCGAGATATACAGTCCTTGTCTGGGGATTGTCCTTGCCTCCCCAATGCCTCCCCAATGCCTCCTTAATCAATCCCCCCTTTTCTTTTCCCATGCAAATTCTTTTGCATCAGATACTTTCATTATTTACAGTAACACAACAAAGCAGGCATCTAAACAACATGCACACAAATATTCCTAACACTACTAATGTGATTAGAGCAATGAACACTTGTTTCAACCATTGGAAGCTGGGCAACCAGGAGGTTAACTTATTCCATATTTCACTAAAACTCCATGAAAGATCATCTTTACTGATCTCATGTAGGATCCTTGTCTGCTTCCATATTTCTTCCAGGTCGGTAGAGATCCTTCCACTCTGATCTACATACATACAACAACTTGTATTTATTACTGTACAGACTCCCCCTTGAGCGGCCAGTAACAAGTCTAGGGCCATCCGATTTTGTAATACTACCTGTGATAAACTAGATATCTCTTCTTGTTGAGCCTTTATAGCATCCAGAGTTTTGTTTTCTAACTTCTCTATACTTGCAGAAATATTAACTATCGCCTTTTCCAATTCACTCACTCCTAACCATGGGATAAACCATCGAACAAAACTATGAAAAGCGGTGTGTCTCTCTATCAATGGATTGTTAATTTTTCGTAACCTCGAGGCGCTACATCGTGTATGGTCAAACTGGGGACTACTGCTCCAAGAGTGCAAGTTCCCTTCCAGTTCTCGGGCAAGACCTTACGGGCTGTATCATTGCATAGCCAATACCACCCTTTTCCTTCTGGAACTGGCCAGCTGGTTGAATTTGCCCAACTGCTAGTTGTACTAATATTAATTGTTTGATTACAAGATGTCTGATTTCCCACATAAGTAGTACCCGTATTTATACAATCCTGTTTTCCCATACCCTTAGGCGGGTTACACCTTTGTACACATACATAGTAAGATTCCAATGGCACGAAGCTACTAACTTCTAGTTCCAAAACTTCTTCATATTTTTGACCCCAAGATGTGTTTTCCCACAAATTAGTCCAAGGTAAGTTTGCAGGCAAGGGAATCCTGATTAACGATACACCCTTATTCCCATGCTGTGGCAGATGGGTGCATACCCAACAGTTTGTCTTATTAATTACTTGAGAAATTGTTTGTATCAGGGACAGGTGTAAGTTCTCATCCCAAACTGCCCACCCCGAATCTGAGAACCACACCCCTGCAATCATTAGGATCTGGAAAACCATAATTTTGTTGGTCCAATTGGAGTGGTGGTCCATATCCTCGCCACGGCCTTCTTCACCCTTGAATCGTGGATCCTAGCTGCTTACTCCTTAATCTTAATGGTGGTGTGTGTTGTCAGTAATACCTGGTATGGTCCCGTCCACTTTCCTTCCATTTTTCCTCTAGGGGTTGTCCTGAAAAAGTCTTTATATATATAATCCCTGAGCTTAAAAGGGTGGATTGGTTGATCCAACCGTCTAGCCCAGGTCCTGAGAACAAATTTATGTACTTTATTTAATTCGTTCGATCCTCTCCACTAAATAGAAATGGATACGGCCTTCCATATAAGATTTCAAAGGCACTCAAATTCCCTTTTATTCTAGGTTTAACTCAAATTCTAAGTAATGCTAAAGGGAGGGATTGAGGTCATGACAAATTAGATTCTTGTCCGATTTTAGCTATTTGTTGTTTAATTAAATGTTTCATTTTTCTACCTGTCCACTTGCCTGCGGTCTATAAAGACTATGCAGTTGTCTTTAGAATATCTTTAGAATCTTACTTATCTGTTGTACCACTTGCACACAAAAATGTGAAACTCTATCAGAAGACATTGCTACTAGAATCCCAAAGCATGGTATTATTTCATTTAACAAGACTTTAACTACTTCTTCTTGCTTTGTTTGTTCGACAGGGAAAGGCTTCAGGCCTTCCTGAAATCATGTCAGTCAGAACCAGTAAATAACAATACCCCCCTTTTCTAGGGAGTTCTGAAAAATCAATTTGCCACAGTTGCCCCGAATAATTTCCTTTACTGATTATTCCAAATTTTATTCTATTCTTGGTATTGGGGTTATTGTGTAAGCAAATGCTACATTGTTGAGTTACTTGTTTTATTGTTGTATATAAATTTTGTTCCACTAATGTCTGACTCAGGCTCTTATGCAATGTGTCAGCTCCCCGATGTGTTTTATTGTGTTCTGTAAGAACTATGGGCCATATCAAATTAGAGGGTATTATTACACAGTTATCTTTTAAATATACTCATCTATCTGGTTTCATTTTACCTTTCAAATCTTCAATTAATTTTAAGTCTTCTTTTGTATAATTTGGCTTTTTGGTTCATATATATAGTTTGGATTTTACCGTCTGGTATTAAAGACAATGCCTTCACCTCAGTTATTTCAGCTGCCTGTTTAGCCTCCTGATCTGCCAATCGATTTCCAATTTCAAAATCAGAGTTTCCCTTTTGGTGTCCTTGACAATGCATCATAGCTACCTTTTCTGATTGTTTTACAGCCTGTAACAATTTTAAAATTTCTTCAGCATGTTTTCTTTTTGTTTTCCCTGAGCAGTCAGCAATCCACGTTCTTTCCATATCACTCCATGAGCATGTACCACGCCGAATGCTTATTTAGAGTCTGTCCAAATATTTATTTTCCTTCCTGCTGCTAGTTCCAGTGCTCGCATAAGAGCAATTGTCTCTGCTTTCTGGGTGGACGTCCCAGGGGATAATGGTTTGGACTTGATTACCTGTTGAGTGGTTGTAATGGCGTACCCTGCCTTACGTTGTCCTTGTTTCACAAAGCTGCTCCCATCAGTATACCAAGAGTCGTCAGCATCTTCTAAAGATTCTTCCTTAAAATCGGGTTGATTAGAATACACAGTGTCCATTGTTTCTATACAATCATGGGTTATGGGTTGATCCAGAGTTCCACTAAGGAAAGAAGCTGGATTTACGATGTTAGTGACCACAGTTTCCACATCATCTTGTTCTACTAATATTGCTTGATATTTTAAAATCATCAATTCTTGTTTAAGTTGTTTAAAGACTTTTTGTGCTTCTCCAGTCCAGACTAACTTGGACTGGTTAATCGTTATCAAATCACATAGAGGCTTTACCAATAGTCCATAATTATAAATCCAAAGGCGACACCAACCTGTAATTCCTAAAAAGGTTTGTAGCTCCTTTACCGTTTGAGGTTCTGAAGTCCGGCAAATGACTTCCTTACGTTCAGTTCCTAGTTGTCGTTGTCCTCCTGAAATTTCAAATCCCAGATAGGTCACACTTTGTTGAGCCAGCTGGACTTTCTGTCAAGAGACTTGATATCCATTTAAACCCAGAAAATTAAGAAGACTTAGAGTCCATTGAATACAACTCCCTTTAGTCTCGGTAGCTATTAAGAGATCATCTACCTATTGTAACAAGGCATCTTCAGTGTCCGGAGGCATCCAAGTTTTGAGTTCCCTTGCTAATTGGTTTCCAAAAATAGTGGGGCTATTCTTGAATCCTTGAGGAAGTAATGTCCACGTAAGCTGCGTCTTTCTGCCTGAATTGGGATTTTCCCATTCAAAGGCAAATAGGTTTTGGCTTTCTGTGGCTAAAGGTAGGCAGAAGAAGGCATCTTTAAATCCAGTACGGTAAACCAGACTTGACTATTCTTTAATTTAGTCAGCAAAGCATAAGGGTTTGCCACTACTGGATGTATATCCTCGGTGATTTTATTTATGGCCCTCAAATCCTGAACTAACCTATAGCTTTTTCATCTGCCTTTTTAATTGGCAATATGGGTGTATTGTATTCTGATTCGCATTCAATCAATAATCCATACTGTAAAAATTTATCAATTATCTCTTTAATTCCTTTCCTATCTTTCATATTATAATATTATAATATTTCACAACCAAATGCCCGAAACTGGGGATATTTCCCCCTATTTCAGCCTCCTTGGAGAGGCCTCAGGCCTCCGCCATTCCAGGGCAGAAGACTACAACTCCCATCATCCCCTGCGCGCGGGACCCGGCTCCAGGCCGGGCGGGAGCAAGGCGCAGGGCGCATGCGCAGTGGCGGGGGCGGGGCGTCCGCCATTTTGTGCCGCTTCCTGAGCAGTGTGAGTGATGGGGGGGGGAGGGGGTGGCTCTCGGCTCTTAAAGGGGGCACGGCCTCAGGGTGGGCCCTTTCGGGTTACGGTGGAGAAGGGCCCGGCGGAGCGCGCTGAGGGGAGGACGAGGAGGCTCCGGTGCGGGTCGCGGCGGCGGAGCGGAGCTTGGCCCCTTCTCCATCATGGCCCCGCCTTCCGCGCTGCGGGGCCCGCTTTAAGGAGCGGCGGCGGCGGGAGCGGGGTCGGGCGGGGAGGGGGGGGGGGGGGAGAGTCGTGAGGGGGTGGGGGCGGGGCTAATTGATGAGGGGGCGTGGCCAAATGGGGCGATGGGCGGGGCTAAGGGACTGGGCGTGGCCAATCAGGGCGAGGGCTGCGGTGGGGGCGTGGCCATGAGGGATAGGGGCGGGGCTTAGAGGGGTGTGGCCCGGAGGGGGCGGGGTTTAAGTAGATGGGGGGGGGGCTCCTGGCCTTTGGGGTCTCCCCCTGAGCCCCTGGCCCCACCCCCCCCCCCCCACACCCCCTCATCACCCCCCCAGACCCCCCCTCACCCGCTCCTCACCCCCCCAGACCGCCCCTCACCTCCTTATCACCCCCCCAGCCCCCCCTTATCACCCTCTAAGCCCCCTCCTCACCCCCCCAGATCCCCCCCCAGACCCCCCATCACCCCCTCATCACCCCCCAGACCACCCCCCACCCCCTTTCACTCCCCCAGACCCCCCCTCACCCCCTTATCACCCCCCCAGACCCCCTTATCACCCCCTCAGACCCCCACCTTACCCCCTCATCACCCCCCCAGACCCCCCTCACACCCTTATCACCCCCACTCACCCCCTCTCACCCCTCTCACCCCCTTATCACCCCCCAGACCCCCCCTCATCACCTCCCTAGACCCCCCCCACACTCCCTTTCACTCCCCCAGCCCCCTCCTCACCCCCTCAGACCCCCCCCTCACCCCCTTATCACCCCCTTACCACCCCCCCAGACCCCCCTCACCCCCTTATCACCCCCCCAGACTCCCTCCTCACCCCCCCAGACCACCCCCTCACCCCCTCATCACCCCTCAGACCCCCCCCTAGACCTCCTTATCACCCCCCCAGACCCCTCCTCACCCCATAATCACCCCCCTTATCACCCCCTTTCACCCCCTCATCACCCCCCCAGAGCCCCCCTCACCCCCTTATCACCCCCCCTCACCCCCTCATCACTCCCCCAGACCACCCCCTCACCCCCTTATCACCCCCCCAGACCCCCCCACAACCACCCCCCTTACCCCCTCATCACCCCCTCAGACCCCCCCTTTACCCCCCATCACCCCCCCAGACCCCTTTATCACCCCCCAGGGCCCCCTTATCACCCCCCCAGACCCCCCCTCACCCCCCCCAGACCCCCCCTCACCCCCTTATCACCCCCTCATCACCCCCCCTCACCCCCTCCTCACCCCCTTCTCACCCCCCCAGGACCCCCCCCCCCCATGGATCCCGGCCGCCCGGGCCGCCAGCGGGCCCCCGATTGCGTCCGCCGGCAGAAACGCCGGGAGCTGGACGCCCGCCGCAGCAAGTGCCGCATCCGCCTGGGGGGCCACCTGGAGCAGTGGTGTCGCCTCAAGGAGCAGCTGGGCTTCTCCCTGCACTCCCAGCTGGCCAAATTCCTCCTCGACAGGTCCGTAGCCCAGAAAAACCCCCCAAAATACCCCCCAAAAAAAACCCATGGGGTCGGGCAACCTTCAGGTCGATCACGCTGCCTCCTCCTTCCGCAGGTACAGCTCCCAGGGTTGTGTTTTGAGCCCAGGTAGGTGCCTTTTTCCCCCTTGGCTACCCCCCATCTACATTTTATTTTATATTTTTTCACCCAAAATGCGTTTATTGTGAAAATTCGCATTGCACGACACCCTTTCCTGGGAGGAGATGCTTGCGGCGGTGTGGGGATGGGGTCGCCACGGCGGTGGCTCTGGCCCCATTGGTTTGTTGGGGACGTTGGGCCCCTTCCCCAGCTGCTTTTTGGGGTCTTTGTGAGGTTTTGGGGTTGTGAAAGAAGGGAAGAAGCAGCTGTGAGGGTGCTCGCGGGGTGGGGACACCAGGAGGTTGGAGGTGGGGAGGTGGCAGAAGGAGCCCTTTGACGTTGTCCCAACACCAACAAATCTTTAATTGGGTTCACAGAACCAAAAATCAACCCAAAAGTCGAATTTTTGGACCTGTTCACCGAATCGCTTATTTTTTTATGCCCTAACCCAGGACCAAGCACCCCAGAACCCAGCCTTCTCCACGCCGATGCCTTGCAGCGCCTGGTCGCCCTCTCCCACGGCCACGGCCAGGAGTGCGGCTTCGTCCCCGACGTGAAACCCCCAGCCTCGGGCAGCCCAGCCCAGCTGGTGTGGGAGTGCGTGGCTGGTCACAGCTTCTCCTGGGGTGTCCCCACCGTGGCCGATGGCCAACAGCCGTGGGGAGTCACCGAGGAAGATTTGGGGTCCAATTCCCCACTGGTCCCCAGGCGCCGGCGGTCGTTGCGGCGGGCAGGGCTCGTTGCCGAGCCCAAGATGGACGGATCCAGCCCCAAAAAGGATGGTGCTGAAGCAGAGGTGGCAGCTTGGTCACCCGCTGGTGATGGAAACCAGAGGGAGGAGGCGGGTGAAAGCAGTGATGGAGGTGAGGTTGGGTGGTGGTCTTCCTCGTCTTCAGCTGGGAGGAAGGTGGGCTCCCGTGCTCTGCTCTCATTTCACTGTTGGCCTCTTGTAGTCCAAATTAGAAGATTTTTGGGTGGTCCCAAGGCTCTGGTAGTCCAAAAGTAGAAGACGTTTGGGTGGTCCCAAGTCTCTGGTAGGCCAAAAGTAGATCTTTGGGTGGTCCAAAGGCTCTGGTAGTCCAAAAGTAGAAGACCTTTGGGTGGTCCCAAGTCTCTTGTAGTCTAAAATTATATCTTTGGGTGGTCCCAAGGCTCTGGTAGTCCAAATTAGAAGATTTTTGGGTGGTCCCAAGGCTCTGGTAGGCCAAAAGTAGATCTTTGGGTGGTCCCAAGGCTCAGGTAGTCCAAATTAGAAGATCTTTGGGTGGTCCCAAGTCTGGTAGTCTAAAATTAGATCTTTGGGTGGTCCCAAGGCTCAGGTAGTCCAAATTAGAAGACCTTTGGGTGGTCCCAAGTCTCTTGTAGTCTAAAATCAGATCTTTGGGTGGTCCCAAGGCTCTGGTAGTCCAAATTAGAAGATCTTTGGGTGGTCCCAAGGCTCTGGTTGTCCAAATTAGAAGACTTTTGGGTGGTCCCAAGGCTCTGGTTGTCCAAAAGTAGAAGATCTTGCTGACCCCATGTAGGTAGAGCTCTCAGAAGTTTCTCCATTTAGCCAAGATCAAGGAGAAAACCTTCTTCTTTCCTGTCTTAGCCACTTCAGAAGAGGTTGAACTTTCCAGGAGAGGATTTTGGAGTGACTTGGCCAGCAGAAGGGCACAATCTGCTCTCCAACACCTGCAGGCTCCCTGGTCCTGCTGCCAAATCCACTCCTCCTTCTTCTGCATCTCCAAGACTTTGGGTGTAAGAGCCCTGCCTTACCTCACCATCACTCCTTTCGTTTCCTCACAGCTCCCCGAGGACAGATGGAGGTGGCAACCACAGGACTGGACCATGAGAGGTGAGTGGCGGCCCTGTGGGGCTTTCCCCCGGCACAAAACACCAAAAATTGGCGTTTCCTGAGCTGAAGGTTGCACCTGGACGCAATTATCCTTGGGCTCTTTGCACCCATGGCATCTTCTGATGGCAATACCACCATTTAATGAAGTTTCCATAAAAAAATTACTGCTGGGTCATAGCAGAGCTGATTTTGGCCGTTGCATTTTGGCAGCACACCCGTGTTGGAGGAGAAACCGGAGCAGGGCAGCGCGTCTCAGGAAGAAGAGGAGGAAGAGGAGGACGAGGACTTCGCCGAGGACGATGACCTTGCCTACACCGATGACCTGCGTGATGAGAACTACCACCCGTCTCTGGACAGGTGAAGAGTGCCTAGAGGCTGGTGGCCAACCGTGGCTCAACGGTGGCCAACGGGGCCCGACTGTGCCCCAACTGTGGTCAACGGGGCCCAGTGGTGGCCAAGAGCAGCCAACTGTGCCCCAACAGTGGCCAACGGGGCACAACCATGCCCCAACCATGGTCAACAGGGCTCAACGGTGGCCAAGAGCAGCCAACCGTGCCCCAACCATGGTCAACAGGGCCCAGTGGTGGCCAAGAGTGGCCAACCGTGCCCCAAATGTGGTCAATGGGGCCCAACCATGGTCAACAGGGCCCAATGGTGGCCAAGAGCAGCCAACTGTGCCCCAACGGTGGCCAACGGGGCCCAACCATGCCCCAACAGTGGCCAACAGGGCCCAATGGCAGCCAACGGTGGCCAACGGGGCCCAACTATGGTCAACAGGGCCCAATGGTGGCCAAGAGCAGCCAACTGTGCCCCAACGGTGGCCAACGGGGCCCAACCATGCCCCAACGGTGGCCAACAAGGCCCAATGGTGGCCAAGAGTGGCCAACCGTGCCCCAAATGTGGTCAACAGGGCCCAACCGTGCCCCAACAGTGGCCAACAGGGCCCAATGGTGGCCAAGAGCGGCCAACCGTGCCCCAACCATGGTCAACAAGGCCCAATGGTGGCCAAGAGCAGCCAACTGTGCCCCAAATGTGGTCAATGGGGCCCAACCGTGCCCCAACCATGGCCAACAGGGCCCAGTGGTGGCCAAGGGCACCCAATGGTGGCCAACCACCTAAACCATCTTGCCCATCCTGTGTCTCTCTTCTCCCCCAGCGACTCGGAGCTGCAGAGACGCCAAAGCCAGCCAAAATCCCGCAAGAAACCCGTGAAAGAGGAGCAGAGCCCAAGCGAGCCGAGCCCGATCGATTCCAGCCCAGCAGAGGAGAGGGGTGGGCGAGTCAGGTGAGCGGGGAAGACCACGGCGGTGGCTACTGAATGAGCATTTGGGGGCATCTTGGACACGCTGCTGCTTTCTGGGCTGAGAAACCACATGGAAAACTACCCAAAAGTTGTAAAAATGCGTGAAGTTCAAGGGAGAGGTCTGCGTGTTTGCAAAGGGAGGTGACAAAGTCACCTGGAATCAGGTTTTAGGCCTCATTGGGGCAGAGCTGCTGGCACCTGGCCCCGTCTTGTGCTGGAGCTTGAGAGGAGGGATCTGGCTTCTGGTCTTGATGGGGGAGTCATTCACGGTGTCTCCTTTGTGGCCACGCACGTGTCTGCTGCCTTGGGTGCTTCAGCACCCAGCCTGGAGCTGGTCCCAAGCACGGGTGGCCACGGAGCAGAGATTTGGTGGCCTCCAGAGGGGTGGAACCACCTCCAGAACCACCAGAGGTGGTTTGGTTGGTCTGGTGGACCAGATGGCCCGTAGCGATGGCAGCGCTCATCCAACCTCAAGCCTTGGTTGAAGGACGTCCTTCTCAGGACCACAAGTGTTGAATTTGCAAGCACTTTGAGGCTGAGTTATGGTTTAGCCACTCCTGCCCAGCCACGTGGGCTCAAAAATTCCCGTTTTCACTCAAAATGAGACGGGAGGGTGGAGTAGTTGCTCAGTTCCAGGCGTCTTTTAAGCAGGAAGAGTCAATTCTGGCCGCCCCCGTGCGGGTTGGTCTTGATGCTTTGCCTCTCGGGTCTGACACACAAGGAGTCATCCATCACCTTCCTGGATTTTCTTCCAATACAAGGGCATTTAAAAAATAAATAAAAAACACAACTTTTTACTTGGAGTTAGCTGGAGCGACCACTTATCTGCTCTTACCTTTGTGTGCCCTTGAGAGAAGACACCAAAACGCACCCCCCCAAACCTTAGCAGGTAAGTATTGCACGCTTCCACGAAGGTTTTTGTATTTATTTTTTCGCTTTGGCATGCTTTTACCACTTCGTTTCGCTTCTCAACGCCCTCCCTGTCTCTTGCAGGAGCTCAGGAGCCACCTAGGAGCTTGCTGGAAGAGAAGATGTGTTCCCAAAAAGTCGTTCCAGAAAGATAAATGGAATGGTAAATCTGGCACTTGCCTTTCTTCTCTCCTTTTTGGGTTACACCAAGGGACGCCAGGCACTCAAATTCAATTTGTCAGGAAAGGTTTGGTTTCTCTGGTCTATGTTGATACCAAAAATTAAGTAAGAGAGGGATTTTTTCACACCTCTGTGGTATTTGGGGGTTCTGCACGCTTCCCACTTGTCACCCTCACATTCAAACCCCCAAAAACCTCAAGATGGACCCAAAAACCTCTTGGGATTTTCAGATGTGGCTGATAAAAGCGGCTATTGACTTGCTTGTGCAAAAAGCAGGGTGGGGGGGAAGCTTTTAACACCCCTCCAAATTAAATTTGAGGTCAGTGTTGAGCTTTTGATGAGTTTCATTACAATTGTCATACGTGGACTTAGAAAATTTACTTTTTTTCCCCCAGTTTTGTAGCAGAAAGTGGAAGAATGGAGAAAAAAGACTGTTCTAAGAGGAAAAGATGGCTCATCCTGCACAGCCTCTTCTCGCTGCCCTACGGTAATGCCACCCTGAGCTGATAAAAAAACACTTTGAGGAGATTGTAGACAAAGATGCCCGGCCAAAAAACAAAAAATTTATTCAGATGCAGTCTGGCGTGGCCATCTATGAACAATCTCTCTGTCTTGCCCCATAAAAACATCCATTTTTAAAAAAAATCTCTCTCTGATTGCAGGATATCAGCCAGGAATAGCTGCTCTTTCCACAAAACCATGGATAAAGCTGAAAAAAAATAGATGAAACCTGTTTTGATGGGAACGAGCACTCAGCGAGGTGGACACAACGATCAGAGATGCACTAGGACACTTCCAAAAACCCTGTTAAAGACTTTTGTAATGAATAATAAAGATTTTTATTTCTCTTTACGGTGTCTGAAAGGTGCGTTTGTTAACCTCGTTGCCTGCTGCGAGGCGGGGGGAAGAAATATTTAAGTGGTTTTCTTTAGTTTTTAAGACTTTCTAATTTTGGAAGGGGAAGAGTTGGCCAAAGGATGGTTTGGTTGGCCAAAAGATGGTTCGAATGCCGTGGTCTTTTTGGAAACCATCAACTTGTGGCTGCTTTCCAGCTCCTCGGCTCTAAATTGAGGCAAGGAGAGGGGATTTTGGGGACAGGAGCCTCGCTCAAGACCTTTTTTTTCCTCTTCCAGCTGCAAGCGGCGAACGCGGTCGTGCGACGAGGACGTGGCCCAGATCGGCCCCAAAAGGATCAGGTAGAGAGTGCTCCGGGAAGGGGAGGATGAGAAGGTGCAAATCAGCCCTTTGGGGCATAAAACGTGGTGGGACATTTTTCTTGTCCCTCCTGCTGCGATGGGAGCCTCATATTTGGCTAATATTAAGCTTCTGGGGGCTAAAAATGATGGGGGACGGAGGGGGATTCGCTCTTTTCTCAGCTCTCCTTGCTCACCCTGATAATTCCTCGCTCTTCCAGGAAGGCAGCGAAACGTGAAATCCTCCTCTGCGACTTCGAAGGCTGCGGCAAGATCTTCTCCAACCGCCAGTACCTGAACGTGAGGCCGGTGGTGGTGGGGAGGGAGGGACCCAAATCCCTTTTTTTTCGTGCACGGGAGGTTCAGCCGAGCGCCTTCATCCCTCCTGCTCCCTGCTTTGAGCCTCTCCTGTGGCCACTTTTGAGCCAGATTTTGTCTCCTGAGCTCCGTTTTTGACAATTCTGAGATGGATTTGGAGATCCCAAACTTTTTTAAAGTGGGAAGTTTTGACTTTATGAACCAGCTGGAATTTATGAAATGGAATTTTTTCCACCAGCCTGCTCAGCCCAGGGGATTGCTCCCAGTCCCACCTTCTGTTTTGGAACAAAAAGATGAATTTTGCCCTGGAAGATGCCCCAGGGCTTCCTCCAAGCGTAGGTTCTTGGCGAGGGATTTTTGGGGTGGTGATCTTCATTCCTGCCCTTTTTTTCCCCGTATTGCAGCACCACAAGAAGTACCAGCACGTCCACCAGAAGACCTTCACCTGCTCGGAGCCCAGCTGCGGCAAGTCCTTCAACTTCAAGAAGCACCTCAAGGAGCACGAGAAGCTGCACAGCGGTGAGCCAGCCGCCTCCATCCCTTATCAGACGCCTTTCCCGGGCTGCTCCCACCTCCTCGACCCTATTTCCATACCATTATTTCCTATTTTCTCCCTTTTTTGACCCGTTTACCTTCTAGACAACCACATCAGCTTGGTTTTTTTTTGTCCATCTCTCGTTCCTCTCCATTTCTGTGCTGGCAAAGCATCCCGGCTCCTAAAACACACCCCAAAATCATCATCCGGGTTCCTCTTCGAGGCTAAAACATTATTTTTTGGTGTTTTCCTCCTGCCTTGCAGACAAACGGGATTACATCTGCGAGTTCTGCGCCCGCTCCTTCCGCACCAGCAGCAACCTGATCATCCACCGGCGCATCCACACGGGGGAGAAACCCCTGCAGTGAGTTCCCATCCCATCCCTTAACAATTTGGGGTCACCTCGCTGGTGCCAGCGCTGCTCCACACCAATTTTCCTGCTCCACATCAATTTTCCTGCTCCACGTCAGTTTTCCTGGAAAAAACGGCACCTGGATGCAAAATTCGGGGCGCAGGCACGGGGTTGATTGGAGGAAGCTCAAATTAAGCCATTTTTTGTAGGGTTTTTGGGGAGAGCAATGCGTTTCCTTCCCTCTAGGGTGTGCTGAAGCCACGCAGAGCCCTGACATTGCTCAGCTGATAAAAAAAATTTGCAGATTAAGATGGGACAGAGCACAGATTTATGTGCCTCCCCCTTCTGCTTCCCTGTAGGATTTTTTCCCCCTCTTACACCCCGTCCCGTTTCCTCCTAGGTGCGAGATCTGCGGCTTCACCTGCCGCCAGAAAGCCTCCCTCAACTGGCACATGAAGAAGCACGACGCCGACTCCTTCTACCAGTTCTCCTGCGACATCTGCGGCAAGAAATTCGAGAAGAGGGACAACGTCACCGCTCACAAGAGCAAAAGCCACCCCGAAACCCCCGGCGGACCCCCCCAAGCCGTGCCATCCGAGCCTCCCAGCCTCCTGGGGACTGGGATGGGGCAAACGGAGGCGCTGGGGGCATTTGGGGTAGAGCAGGAGGAGCCCCAAAGCGGGGAGGAGAGGGGAGAAGCGGAGAAAAGCGAGGGGCAGCCGCCTCCTGTCGCTGAATAAGGGCGGTTTTGGGGCAGAATTTGGGAGATGGTGGTGAGGTCGGGAGCAAAATTCGTCTCTGGACTCATCCAGCGGGGACCAAAACCCTCCTCGGAGGAGGGCAGGAGCTGAAAATGATGCTGGATCCTCCAGGAGGCACCGACCTCACGTCCCAGTGCCAAAAACCAAGGAAAAAACAAGAAAAAAAAAAACAAGAAAAAACAAGAAAAAAAAACAAAAAAAAACAAGAAAAAACAAGGGGCCAAACGAGGACGGGGTGGCAGGGGGGCTTCCCTGCTCCTCCAGGGAAGCAAAGACCCCCCCATCACCTCCTCGCACGAGATGGGGGCTCGTTCTTCCTATATTTTGCGGCAGGATCCTCAATAAAAAAGTCATTTTGTAGAAAATTACTGATTTGGCACGAAAAGCAGACAGGGTTTTATTCCCAGACCCAAGGTCGTCACGATTTAGGGTAAAAAAAGGGGTGGGCTGGGAAGCCAAAGGTTGCCGGAGGGGATCCAAACTGGATGGTTTTTTTTAACACTAATTAGGGGCAATGTTTTTGTAGGCCCTATTAAAAGTTGTTAATTGTAGGGCTTCAGGAAGCTCTCCCCTACCCAATTTATCCCACAAGGTTTGAAAACCACAGGTCTCTGTACCTTTTTTGCACTTTTTTCCCTCTTTTTCCCCCCAGCCCCGAAGTATTTGTAGTATTTATGTATCCTAGAAGACCCTCAGCCCAAGAAAATTGGGGGAAATAAGCTGTATTTAAGGATTTAAGGGTTTTTTTGGCACATATTTATCTATTTTTGATGTGGAAAGGAGCTGCTGGAATGGGGCTGGTTGTAGAAATTCAGCCAGGGTCCCCAAAAAACAACATAAATCTTCCAGGAACTTCCTTTTTTTTGGGGTTTCAGGATCCATCCTACAGCAGTGAGACGCTCCCCGGGGGCTCGATGAAATATTTTAAGCAGCCAGACCCAAATCTGTCAGAATCAGGGCTCGCTTTGGCCTCTGTTCTCCCACGGGGGGGATGCTGAGCCCCATGCAGCCCCGTGGCTGGGGTTCTTCCAGTCCCACAGCAGCAAAAACCCACCTTGAGGCCCCAAAAAAAGCCCCCCCCTTTAAAATTTACCCTTTTGGGCAATAACGCTGAATATTTAACTCAACCCCTGTGCAGCGTTGAAGTCTCTGAGCACCAGGAGCTGCACAAATCCCATTAAAACCCCCCCCCCGTGCAATTTTTCCTCCCGTCCCATCTTTTGGGCACAAAAACCACGGAAGGAGGCGCTGGGTTGGGTTTTTTTTTTGTGTTTTTTTTTTTTTTTCTTTTGCACAGCAACTTTTATTTCCCCACTAAACAGAGTGAACAGGGCAAAGAGACGTAACAGCATCGCGAGGGGGGGGCACACGAGGGTGGGCAGGGTGTAAGCACGCGCGAGGTCACACCTAAAAAACGAGCCTTCCCCCCCTTCCCCACCCCGCAGCCAAAATCCCCTAAACTGAGCCCAAAAGGAGACTCCAGGTTGGCAGCACGCCCACGGCTCTTCCCAGCTTTTGGGGTGGCACCCAGCACCCCCAGCTCGCCCTGCCTCGGCCCTACAAACCCTCAGCAATGGGAAGGGGGAGAAGATCAGGGGGGTTTTTGCTCTCTAGTGGCAGCAAAAGACAGGCTGGGCCCCTTCCCGAGGAAGGGAAAAGCGAGGACAAAGGGGGAAAAAACTGCTAAAAAGGTGACCTGCAGAGGAACGGTGTCAGAAATTGGGATTTGGGTACGGTACCTTTCCTCCTCACACAGGTTTTCTAGCCCTCGAGAGCTTTTTGGGGTGCACGAAGCAGGCGGCTTTGCTACGGGGCTGAAGGCAGGAAAGCGAAAAACCCCAAAGGAAAGCGAAAACCCCAAACGGGGCTCTTCTCCCTGGTTTGCCACGGGGGCAGCCAGCTTAAAACAAGGAGAAGGGGAAAGGGTTGCTTATAGGGCAGGCCAGAGCGTGAGGAAAGAGGAGAAAATAACCTCAGAGAGGGGCTCCTGAAGCAGCCGGGTTTGTCCACCCTCAACGGTTGATGCCCCCTGAAAACCTTTTTCGGGGTAAAAGCGACCCAAACGTTTTTTTTTTAAATGCAAGAACGAAAAAAAGAAAAAAAAAAAAAACAAAAAGAGGAAACTCCCCCCCCAAAGCTAACTAGGAAAACACGAACGAGTTTTGGGGGCTTTTTGTCTGAAAGCAAGGGGGGAAAAAAAAGGGAAGGGGATCGGGGAACTACTTGCAGGTCACCTCGGGGAGGGAGGGAAGGAAAAAGAAAGAAATCAGACGGGTCAATTGCAAAGGGAGAGCGAGGAGCCCACATAGAAGAGCCAGAAGAAAGGGAAAATCTTTTCGGTGAAAGCGGCGGTGAAGGTGAAGATGGGAGCCATGTTATCGGCGTTGTAAAACGCCACCCAGCCGCCTTCGTAGTCCAGGTACACCCCGATCTTCCTGGGCCTCTCGCACAGGGACAGGGGCGTCTCCGGGGAGGTGAAAGCCTGGTACTGATCCCAATTTTTCCCCTTCCAGTTCAACCCCACCGCCCAAATCCCTTCCTCGGGCGCGAAGTCGATTTTTTCCTTCCTCCGCACCGACTCGCGGGCAGCCCCCAGCACCCAGCTCTCCCCGTCGCCCACCTCCACCTCCCAGTAATGCCTCCCAGCCACGAAACCCTCGGCCGCCAGCACGCAGAAGGAATAATCGAATCTTTTGGGGTTGGCGGGCAGCTCCTGGGGGGCACTCCGGAGCCTCACACTCCTCTTGTCCTCCGACAGCACCAGGTAGGGGTTGGCCGTGTCCGGATCCAGAGAGAGATCGCCTGGAAAGAGATGGAGGTGAGGATCAGCGAGAAAAAAAAACCCTAAATGTGGATTTCTGGCCCCAACCAAACGAGGCCAGCAGCAGGGATGGCACCAGCAACGAGTTTTAAGCCCAAAAAGCCACGTGGGAGCAAAAGTCAGGCCCCACTCTGTGATTAAAACAGAAATTTGGGTGTGCCACCCTGCAAGCCTGAAGGCTTTCTGTCCCCAAAATATAAATTCTGGGGCAAAAATGGTGTTTTTAGTCAGTGCCACGTGCCAGAGAGGAAGGAGAATAAATATCCTCGGGTTTAAGGGCTGCTCTTGCCCTCCAGAGGCCCAGGAGGAGCAGAGGCTGCTCAATTTTTGGGTTTTTCCTTCCCCTGCCACCACAAAACCAGGCAGGGAAACTGCAGCTTCACCCCCGAACCAAACGCCGAGGATTCAAAGTCCACCTCGGAGCAAAATCAACCCCCCACGAGCCGTGCCAAAGGTCTCTGTAGAGCAGAGCAGCTCAACGCTCCTCTTAACCCTGCAGTTTCCTACTAAAATTTGGAATTTGGGCCTCTTCTGGGCTCTTCCAGCAGCTGGATTATTTTTTTTGCCTCTTTTTTGGCAGCACCAGTGACTTTTTTCTTCTCCTGACCTCTCAAAGGCCTTACCTCAAAAGATTTTTCCCCCTGAAAAGCTCAAACTGAGGTCAGAGCTGCAAAAATAAAGGTCAGACTGCCCCGTGAAAAAGCCAAACTGCTCACCTGTATCATTCTCCAACTCAAACCGAAGGTTTTCTGCAGGAAAAGAAAGAAATTTCGGTTCATTTACGCATGGGGAATCCCCAGGGACTACCTACAAGCACATGTCCTTGCCCCCTGCATCGTGGGAAGCCACTAAACACGACTCTGTGAACCCAAAACGAGCTTTTCCAAGCAAAAACCCAAAGGAAATGTGATTTTCAAGCAAAAAGAACTTCTACTTTTCAAGGAAAAGCTCCTCAAACAATAAAAGCTCTCCCCCAAAGGGAGAAACAAACGAGAGCACAGCCCTCGTTCTCTTTTAGGAGAAATTAAGCACAAGGGAAACGCTTTTAAAGGTTTTTTTTTTTCCCAGTGCTCACCCTTGAACTCCAGCAGGACCTCTTTCAGCACCGCGCTCTTCTGGGAGAAGCTCTTCAGTTTCTTCTCCAGCTCGGCAAAGCCGGCCTCCGGCTTGCAAAACATCCAGCTCTCAAAGCTGGGGAGGAAAAAAAAGCAGCGTTAGGAGCCCGCTGGAAAAAAAGAGGGCTCCTCCCAGTTAAACCAGCAAGGGCCCAGTTCGCTCACCTGCTTCCAGCCGTGGTGACAACCTGGAGAGAGGAAAAAAAAGCCTCAGTCAGTCCCACAAGCTCCAAAATCCACCCCAAAATCATTCCCTTCCCCTCAGGGGTCAGCTCCCCGTTGGTGTTTCAAGGGCAGGGAGCAGAGGGACTCACAATAATGGCAAAATTTGTGTTTTTCACCCCCCTTTTCCTTTTTAGGGTGAGAATCCACAAATCCACAAATCTTAAAAATTAAGAAAAAAAATCGTGATTGCCATCAAGCTGCCAAGATTAAGATTCAGAATGAATTGATGATGAATTGAGAGAGAAATAGAGAGAAATGGGAGATTTATTCTGATATTTTTTAGTCCTTGGCCCCAAAAGGGGCCAAAACCAACCTAGAAATTCTGTGATTCTGTGTGAAAAAAGATTTCTGAGGGTCAATTTTATCCCCACAGCTGCGGGGAGTTTTGGGAAGGGGCAGAAGAAGAGCAGCTCTGCAGGAAGCCAGGAAAACCCTGCATTAATCAGAGTTAATTAAGGGTCCCAAGCCCAAACTGCTCCCCAGCAGAGCACGTCGGCACCCCACGGTCTCTGTTACGGGGTTTTTTACCCCAAGGGTGCCAGAGGAGAGCTTTTTGGGGTTTTACACCCTGCTATACCATAACCTCTGGGTTGGGAGGATGCGTTTTAAGTTTCTCACCTGCCCGGACTGGTTCCCGGGGCCGTTTTCTCCTCCCTGCTCCCCCAACAACTTATCGAGCTGGGCGATCTCCTCGGAGAGCCTGGAGACGCTCTCATCTCTCCTCTTGACGATGTCTCTGTCTAATTCCTCCAGGCGGGACAGCAGGAGCTGCTCCTTCTCCTCCAGGAAACCTCGCAGCTCCTTGCACTCGGCCACGATCTTCTGCCTCTCCACTTCTGTCTGCTTCTAAAAAGCCCGGGAGAGGGAAAATTTTGTGAGAGAGGCGGCCCCCGGGGGGGGAATGGGGAAGGTTTTGGGGTGAAGTCCCTCGCCCCCCTCCAGGCACTCACCAGCAAATCTTCGCTCTGCCTCTCCCTCTCGGCCTTGGCTTCTTCACGTCCTTTCCGCAGGGAGCTCAGATGTTCCTGCGGCACCTCCTGGAAGGAGGAAGAGATCTGAGGAGAATTTAGGGGGGATTAGGAACACGGAGGAAAGAGATAGGAAGGAATTCCCTCCAGTCCTGCTGCCACAAGGGGCTAAATTTCCTCAAACAGGACTTTTTTTTGCAGCTAAAGAAAGCATTAACCCAAATTGGGGTGAAACCAGCTCTGCACCACGTCCTCCCTCTCTCACCTTATCCTCATCCTTTTATTTTGGGCATACCAAAAAAAAAAACAAAACTAAAAAGCAGCTTGAGCAGCTCACAGCCAGGTAAAGCAGGAAGAAGAAAGAGAAACGAGCACAGGGTGGGGGAAAACAAACCAGCTTTTAGCTCCCTGTGAAGGCAAACCACTAACCCACGAAAAAAACCCTTCTGCAGGGATCAGCTTTCACCTCCCGGCCCCATCGGGGTCTCGGGGGGGGTGGTTCTGGCCACCAAATTAAGTTCGTTAACGGCTTATTGCAAAGCAAACCGCAGCGCCCGGCCTCGTTGAAGTCACTTGACCCCCCGACGAAGCAGCTCCTAGCAACGCCGAATAAAAAGCAGCAGGGAGGACGCCCCGGCGGGGCTTTTCGGGGAAAGAAAACCCGAAAAAAGGGGTTTTGCTACGAGCTGGGAGGTGAGAGGGGGTACAAATGCGGGCTCGCTGCCTGGCACCGCGTGGAAACGCACGATCGAGGCGTGAGTTAAAGGAAAGGGCAGAAAAACAGGGCGCAGGCTGCAAGCTGCGCCTGATGGGAAACCATTTTTTTTTTAAAAAAAAAAGCACAAAGGCAGATTAACGAGGCAAAAAAACAGGGCAGCGCTCGACGGCGGAGCTGCCTGGAGATGTCGCCGTGCTAAAAAAGGACAAGATCCCAAATTTGGGGTGAGCGACGGCGGCTCAAGCTCCAGCTCCCCACTAAAAAAAAAAAAACAGGGTGAAAATTAAAAAGCCCCTGCGCTGGTCTGAAAAAAAAACAGTATAAAAATGGGAATTGAAGAATTAACGGGTGGTTTTAATGCTCGGTGGTGCAAGATCTCCCCGGTGCCACCCTCCCTTCCTCCTCCTCCAGCTGCTGCTGCGCAGTGAGCGCCCGCTGCCCGGCCGGCATCTTGCTTTTCTCCTCCCCGACCGAGAAACCCCCAAATCTCTCATTATTCTCCCCAAAAAGCCCCCTCAGGGCAAGGAGGAGGGCGTCCCTTTCTCCACTGCACAGATCCGGCTCCTGCGTCACGTCCCCCAGCTGCCCTGGGCTGTTTTTTTTTTTTTATTTGCAGGGGAAAAAAGCTTCTCCTACGGGATTCCTGCTGCATTTTTTTGCCCCAAATCACGCTGAATACTGAAAAAAATCCCTATTCCCATCCCAAAGAGGGCAGCTGCATGTTTACTCCAGGGGGATTTCTGCTCGGGGACGTGGCAGGTGAGGATTTGGGGTGGCCTAGTGTTATTTTGCACACTCACCCCCGCACAAAGGCGACCCCGTGCCACTTGAGCTCCGTGTTATTTAGCACGGGAGACAAAACCAGACGGCCCCACGGCAGCTCAGTCCCTCCCAGTATCCTCCCAGTTAAACCCAGCGCCATTTTGAATGGGGGACGCTCCCCCTGACCGGATCCTACTGCACGAGGTCAGCCCTCACCCCAAGATTTCCCCCATCCTGGGGGGTGTTTGGGGACCCTACTGCTCCCCATATCCTGCCCCACCACATAGGGCAGCACCTACCTTGGAAAGGGGTCCCCATATAAGCCCCCAAAGCCCTGTAGGGGACCCCATTAAGCATGGGGGGCAGCCCCAGAGCACTGCACCCCATAGAGATGTGAGTTGGGGGTTCCATATCCCCTATAAAAGCTTATTATTGGGTTTAAAACCTGGGGGGGGGGGGCACTTTTACACCCTGCTGTGTGCGTAGAGGGGATCCCATGGGATTTAGGGTGCACGGCTCCACGTGGGGTGCCCATATTACACCCCCACATTTAACAGGGGTGCTTCCCTTTCAAAAAACAATGATCCTTATTGTGTTTCCCAACCCTCAACAAACCCAAATTCTCCAAAAATGGGGTTTAGTGTATTTCCCAACCCATAACAAACCCAAATTCTCCAAAAATGGGGTTTATTGCATTTCCCAACCCATAACAACCCCAAATTCGCCAAAAATGGGGTCCCCACCGCACCCTATTTATATTAAGGAAGGGGAGGGGGGGGCTCCTCTACCGAGCCCCCCACTGCACCCTCACCCCCAGGAGACCCCAAACACCCCCCGGGGGCTGCTCCCCAAACGGGTTATGGGGTGGGGGGGGGGCTCACCTCGGCGGCGTGTGCCGCCTCCTCGGCGGGCAGCACGGTGTGGGTGCGGTGCTCCCTGGAAAGGTGGCAAACCACGCAGACGGCCCGGCGGTCCTGAACGCAGAAAAGCCTCAAGGGTTCCCCGTGCCGGGGACACCGCGGAGGCCCCGGGGGACCCGGCGGAGCGGCGGCGGGCAGAGGCGGAGATGGGGCCGGAGGCCCCGGGGGAGGCTCGGCGGGGCCGGGGGGCAGCCCCAGCTGGCGGACGATGTGGACGATGTTGCCGAGGGAGCGGTTGGGGCGGAAAAGCCGCTGCGGCACCGGTTCCCGGCACTGCGGGCAGCAGAGGCGCCTCGCCGAGTCCTCCCAGCACTGGGTGACGCAGGCCCGGCAGAAGTTGTGGCCGCACTCGGCCACCAGCACCGGGTCGGTGAAGTACTCCAGGCACACCGGGCACGTCAGCTCGTCCTGCAGGCTGCGGGCGGCGCTGCAGGGAGCCGGCGGCACGGCGGGGGGAGCGGGCGGCGCCTCCATGTCGGAACCTTCCCCCTTTTTCCCCCTTCCCCCCCCCAAATCACCGCCACGAGCAGCGCAGCGCTCCCGAGCTCCGCACCCCTCCGCGCCGCCGCCCCGACTGGCGGCCGGAGGGGGCGGGGCCGCGCATGCGTGCGGCGAGGGGGCGGGGCCGCGCATGCGCGGTGCGCGGGGGGAGCGGGCGGGAGGGGGAGTGCGCATTCGCGGAGAGGGAAAGGGGGCGGGGCTTAGAGGGGTAGAGGGGGGCGGGGCCGTGAGGGGGGCGGGGTTTGGTGTCTATAGGGTCGGGGGGGGGGGAGGACCCCCTATGGAAGGGAATTTGGGAAAGATTTGGGGTTTTTTTAAAGGGTGCTGGAGCTTTGTAGGGTGGTGGGAGGGGGGAGCGTGCCTCTGGCCCTATAGGGTGCTGGGGGGGGTGTCTTAGTGCCTATAGGGGCTATAGGAGCCAAGCACATCCTCCCCCCAGCACCTTAGTGCCTATAGGGTCTATAGGAACCATGCATATCCCCCCCAAGCACCATAGGATCTATAGAATCCATGCACACACACAGCACCTTAGTGTCTATAGGGTCTATAAAAGCCCTGCACATCCCCCCCCCAGCACCTTAGTGCCTATAGGGTCTATAGGAGCCCTGCACATCCCCCCTACCCAGCACCTTAGTGCCTATAGGGTCTATAGGAGCCATGCACATCCCCCCACCCAGCACCTTAGTGCCTATAGGGTCTATAGGAGCCATGCACATCCCCCCCCCAGCACCTCAGTGTCTATAGGGTCTATAGGAGCCATGCACATCCCCCCCAAGCACCTTAGTGCCTATAGGGTCTATAGGAGCCCTGCACATCCCCCCACCCAGCACCTCAGTGTCTATAGGGTCTATAGAAGCCCTGCACATCCCCCCCCCAGCACCTTAGTGCCTATAGGGTCTATAAAAGCCCTGCACATCCCCCCCCCCCAGCACCTTAGTGCCTATAGGGTCTATAGGAGCCCTGCACATCCCCCTACCCAGCACCTTAGTGCCTATAGGGTCTATAGGAGCCATGCACATCCCCCCAAGCACCTTAGTGCCTATAGGGTCTATAGGAACCATGCATATCCCCCCCAAGCACCATAGGGTCTATAGAATCCATGCAAACACACAGCACTTTAGTGTCTATAGGGTCTATAGAATCCATGCACATCCTCCCCCCCAGCACTTTAATGTCTATAGGGTCTATAAAAGCCCTGCACATCCCCCTACCCAGCACCTTAGTGCCTATAGGGTCTATAGAAGCCCTGCACATCCCCCCCCCCCCCAGCACTTTAATGTCTATAGGGTCTATAAAAGCCATGCACATCCCCCCCCAGCACTTTAATGTCTATAGGGTCTATAAAAGCCATGCACATCCCCCTACCCAGTACCTCAGTGCCTATAGGGTCTATAGGAGCCCTGCACATCCCCCCACCCAGCACTTTAATGTCTATAGGGTCTATAAAAGCCCTGCACATCCCCCTACCCAGCACCTTAGTGCCTATAGGGTCTATAGAATCCATGCACACACACAGCACCTTAGTGTCTATAGGGTCTATAGAAGCCCTGCACACAAACACAGAGCACCCTATAGACACTAAGGTGCTGGGGGGTGGGTGTGCATGGCTTCTTATCGGGTGCTGGGGGGATCCTATATGGTATGGGGAGAGGGGAATGCCTCTGTCCCTATAGGGTGCTGTGGGGGTGTGCCTTAGCGTCTATAGGATCTATAGGAGACGTGCACACACACACATCTTGGTGTTTATAGTGTTGCATAATGCTGCTACAATCCCAAAGCTCCACAATCCCAAAATGCTCCGTTCACTCCCTGAAAACACGCCTCAAATGCACGTTTATCTGCATCTTAACCCGTCCCTGCGAAACAGCTGCTATTAAGTCACGCATTAATAATCACAATCATCGTCTCCCTGTCTCAACTTCCAACTACAAAGTGACTTTTTTGGGGCTGGATGCTGGCAATCTGCTATTTTTAAATTATTCTTAGTGTTTGGGGTTCTTTGCTGAGAGTGTCACCACAGGGCACGTGAGGCCGGAGCTGTCCCCCTCTTCTGCCGTCACATTCTTCCATTTTTCTTGATTTTTCCCCTCGGCTGGCACCACAGGAAGTGCCGGAGGGAAAGCACGTTTTTGGGGATGGAAAATTAAAGGAGGTTAATTGGCTCTGACGCCAGCGAGGTCCCGGTTTTGGGGTGCCTATGGCGCAGAGAAGCATCCCGGGGTATTGAGGTGGGTGCTTGAAACCTGCCCCAACCACCCCGGTGACATTTAATTTCAAACGCATCTTCTCAGATGTAATTAAGCCTTAATACCATAAGCCATTTGCATGTCCTGCCTTGGCTTTTTGTCATTTTTAAACCAGCTTTTATTTATAACAAGAGGAGACACCATGTCCAGCAAGGAGCGGTTGGAGCCCTGCTGGGTCACAGCTGTCCTGTTTCACCTCAAAAATAAGCATTTTAGGGAAATTTGACACTGGGTTTGTACCCCTGTCACCCAGCAGCCAGGTTTCCTGTGCAAATTATTAAAAATTTCAAAGTAGAAGTTGGAGAAGCATGAGACAGATGGAGGATTTAATACCAGGATTCCCCTGCCTTTCTTTACATTTTTCCTCACTGTCTGTGGTGAAATTTGCTCTGAGGAGGAAGTAGGTGTGGGAGAGGCTACTTGCTGGCGGTGGTTTGGATGGGGTGGGCTAGAATTTGGGGTGAAAAACTGCAAATTTGGGGCCTGCGTGTTGGGATCTCCTCAGGGAGGAGGTGCCCGCTTCCAAAATGGCGGCGCCGTGCCCGCTTCCAAAATGGCGGCCGCGTGCCCTCCTTCAAAATGGCCGCCTTGCCCTCAGGCAGGGCAAGAGGAGAAGATGGCTGCGCCCCCCGCCCCCCTCACTAAAGGGCTGTCGGGGCGAGTAGGGCGAGATGGCTGCTTCCTCCCTTTTTGTTTGAGGAAAGCCTTGCTCAAGATGGCCCCCTGGGGCGGGGGAATGAGACCTTGGTGTTCATCTTGGGTGAGGGCAGCCATTGCCACGGTGATGGGTCCTTTGAGGATGCACCCCCCAAAACAAACAAATAAAAAAAACAAACAAAACGACACGTATGGGGCCATTTTGCAGCTTCTGCAAGCCCCTAAATCCAAATATGTTTCTTCAACACATCAGAACTGTGCTCCTTGCCAGCAGGACATGCATGCAGCTGTCCCCATTGACAGATCCCCCCCTTTCTCTGCAGAAACAGCCCTTGGAAAGAATTGGGACAGCTGCTGCCCCGTTCCCTCACTCCAGACTTGCTCAAATGTCCCACGATACCTCCCCCCATTTCCAAATTTAGGATATTTGCCCTCAAAGTGGTCCCTAACAGATTTATCATCCATAAATTCAGGGGGTCCTGCTTTGTGCTGGCAGAGGCCTGCAGTGAGGAGCTCCGCTGTGAACCACAGCCATCCACAAGGAAATGTCACCGTGGAACCCCAAATTTCTCATATTTTCTATAATTTTGGGAAGAACACCTCACTGTTTTATCCTCAAACCATGCTGGCCACATCATGGGGGTGAAAGTGGCAGCCAGCCAAAGAACTGCTCTGATTTTGCTGGTGACATTGTGCATCCAGATGTGTTGTTATTTTGGGGAGGTTTTGCAAGGGAAACCGTGTATCCACGTGATTTTTTTATTATTATTTATTTTGCTCTTTTTTTTTTTTTTTTTTGATTTTCTCCCAAAGGATTTTTTTAAATTTCTATTTCCGCCCGTGCCATAGATATAGCCACCAGAGGGCCCTGGCAATTGTGCAAAGCTCTTTACCCTTCTCTCTCTCTCTCTTTTTTTTTTTTTTTTTAATTCCTTCCTTCCTTCCTTCCCCCTTTTTTTTTTTAACTCTCTTATTGCCCAGGATATCAGAGGGGCTGGGCTTGCGGCCACCGCTCCCTGTGGCCCTTGCACCCCAGGGAGGGACACCCAGCCCCCTGCCCCTCTGTGCTGTGTTTTGGGGAGAGAAGAGGGATTTTTTTTCAAGGCAGGGTGGGGGGCAGAGAGTGGGGCACCTCCAGGTTTTGTCGCCAGCACCTCCCGAGCCGGAGACCACAGGTAACGGGGAGGCTTGGTCTTTGGATGCGGATAGGGAGCGTAAAATGGCTCCTTTTCCATCCCTCTTTCCTTCTCCCCTCCGTCCTTCCTTTCTTCTCCCCTCCCAGCCCATCCACCTCGCCACCAGCACACTCAACTCAGCCCGCCAGATGCTCTCCATCCTTGTTAAAAAAAAAAGCAAAAAAAAAAAGCTCTTCCCATTGTCTTTCTGGAGGTGCTGGCGTCCCTCCGTCCTTCCCCCTTGTTTTGTTAGCACGGGGTGGGATTCATTTCATGTCTTGTTCGGGTGCCTTTGAGTGCTGAAAATGCTGACCCCCACTCCCCTTTTGTTTTATTTTTTTTTAGCAGGATGGAAAAACCACCCGGGAAAATAAAATGAAGCAGGATGAGCTGCCAGGGAAAAAAAAAAATGTAGGAGGGATCCGCGGTGTGCGCCTGAAATCGCCCTTTTATTCCTGACATCAGTAAGTCGGGTACAGCCTGCCTCAAACCTTTCTTTCTGTCCCCCCCGTCAGTCCTCCCTTCTCCATCCTCTGCTGGAAAATAGAAATAAAGCGGGATCCTAAATGCTGCTCGCAGAGGAGGATGAGCGAAAGGAGGGAGGAGTGGGAGCAATTTGGTTTTTTAAATGATTTTGCAGCAGAGAGCGCCAAACCTGGTTCCTCTACTTGGGAAAAGTCACATTTCCCCCCCAGAATTGTTAGAGACGGTGCTGAGTACCCAAAATTTGTGTTTCCTCAGGGCACGGTAGAGAAATATCTGTAATTCATCCTTTTTGCAGGGGTGGGGAGCAATTGCTGTGTGTTTTGGGGGGGCAAAAATGAAAAGTTTGGGACAGGAATCTTGATGAAGGTACCCGTGGAGGAGCACTCAGGATTTCAGGATTTGGTACAATAGGAATTAGCTTTGATATGATTTGAGTGAAAAATCACCCAAAAACTGCTGTGAAAGTGTGTGGACTGGGAAGTATGCACGGAGCATGGCTTGGACCTGTTCCACCTACTAGAAAGCAAACTCTTGCATCCAGTAATTCAGCCGCGCAGATTTAAGTGCTTCTAACCTAATTGTCTGCAACCCTCGGAAAAATATCTGCATCTATATTAAAAATAAAAAAAAATAAAAAAAGTATTTGGCTGAGTTATTGAGCGTAGAGTCTGCTCGTGCAGGAAAAAAATGAATTTCTGGTGATAAGTGATGGTATCAGTGATGTATCAGTTTGTTTTAGGGTGAGGATGTTGTCTGCAGGTTACTGAAATATGGAATATTAATGGAATATGGGGTTTATTTTTATTTTTATTTTATTTTTATATTTTTTTTTAAGAATTATGCTGAGAGATCTGGGAAAATAAGCGGTGGATTAAGGGATAGAGGCTTATCAGCCCCCGGTTTTGTGATGCGGTGAGGGCTCAGCCTTTCTATCAGCCAGCAGAGAATCCACAGGTTAATAAAACGGGGGGTTTTGCATGCAAATCCTTGGGGTTGGGTTGTTGCTGATGGGGGTGTCACGTCCTTATCGTAGGGGGGGGTCTCAAGAGGCTGGCCATGGAGCCCTACGTGCTGCTGGACCCGCGACAGCGAGCGCTGTATCGCGACGTGATGCAGGAGAGCTACGAGACGCTGATGGCGCTGGGTGAGGAGACCCCAAAATAATGGAGAAAATTTGGGGATGGGCCAAATATCCGAATATGGGGACAGGATTTGGGTCACCGGATCCTCTCATCTTCGTGCAAGGGGCTGGGGGGCTCCTGAGGAGGGCTGCTGATCCATGTTTCTCCTTTTTTTTTTCCAGAATTCCCCGTTTCTAAGCCCGACCTGCTGTCCCGCCTGGCCCACGAGGATGAACCAACAGCCCTGGATCTCCACGTCCCCAAGGACGCCCCGTCTGGAGGTGAGCCCCCCGCATTGCGCCGGGGTCGTGGCACAAAAAAAAATGGGGTTGGCTCCTGCTGGTGGCTTTCCCCCACCTGTGGACACCTCCCCGAAATTGAAAAAGATGCTGGGATGGCCAGAGTGCAATGCCAGGGGGATGTCCTGGCCGAAATGGAAATGCCAAAGCCCCTCTGCAGTCAGCTGAGGGGATTTTTGGGGTGGTCCAGAGAGAAATGGGGGTGCGGTGGAGGTGATGGTGATTTAATTATTGCGTTTGTGCTGCTGGCAGGGGGGTGGGATGGGGATGGGCTCCCATGGGGATCCTTCCCCTAGAGGTGAAGCTGGAGGAAAACGTGAAATAAAACGTGAAATAAACGTGAAATTTCACATTTTCCTGGAGGAAAACGTGAAATAAAACGAGGAGGAATCCCCCCCTGCCCTCCGTTTCATCTCCCCAGCCCCGGCAGAGACAAAATCTGCCTGGGTCGCGTCTCTTTTTTTTTTCCCTGTGCCCCACAGAGGACGGAGCACGAGCGGAGCAGGAACCCCCCCGAGAAGAAACTGCCGAGAAAGAGCCCGAAGCCTCAAAACCCACGGGTGAGGAGCATCCCTCGAGCCCCGCCGAGGTGAAGGCGGGCAGGAGCGGGGAAGCCCCGCCGCAGCGAGCCCCCCAGCCCGGCACCACGTGCGGCGAGTGCGGCAAGAGCTTCAGCCACAAATCGGCCCTGGTGAAACACCAAAAAATCCACAGCGGCGACCGGCCCCACGAGTGCCCCGACTGCGGCAAGGGCTTCATCCAACGCTCCGACCTCACCATCCACCAGTGGGTCCACACGGGCGAGCGGCCCTACGCCTGCCCCGATTGCGGCCGCCGCTTCAGCGTCAGCTCCTCGCTCCTCACCCACCAGTGCACCCACGCTCCCGGCGGCCAAAAACCCAACCGCTGCCCCCAGTGCGGCCGCAGCTTCGCCGACCCGGGGGCTCTCGACCGGCACCAGAAGAGCCACTTGGGGGGGAAACCCTACGAGTGCGGGGTGTGCGGCAAAGCCTTCGCCTGGAGCTCCCACCTCGAGCGCCACCGGCGCATCCACACGGGGGAAAAGCCCTTCCAGTGCGCCCAGTGCGGGCGAGCCTTCGCTTGGAGCTCCCACCTCGACCGCCACATGCGCACCCATGCCGCCGCCGCCTCCGAGGAGGAGGAGGAGGAGGGTGAGGAAGAGGAGGATGAAGAACCCCCACCGCCGCCCCCCCAGAAATGCGCCGACTGCGGCAAGCGCCTCAACCACCAGACGGACCCGCAGCGCTTCAAGCACAAGGGCACCCAGACGCCGCCGCTTGGGGACGACCCCCTCAGCAGCCCCCCGCGGCCCTACCGCTGCGAGCAGTGCGGCAAAAGCTTCGGCCACAGCTCCAACCTCCTCAAACACCAGCGCGTCCACACGGGCGAGCGACCCTACCCCTGCCCCGATTGCCAACGCTGCTTCCGTTGGGGCTCGGCTTTGGCCAAACAACCGGCGCACCCACGCCCGGCAGCAACCGGTTGCCAAAAGATGCGCCGAGGAAAGCGGCGCCGGGGGAAAACCCTACCCGTGCGGGGCTTGCGGGAAGAGTTTCGGCTGGGTCTCGCACCTGGAGCGCCACCGGCGCATCCACACGGGGGAGAAACCTTTCCGCTGCGGGGAATGCGGGCGAGCTTTCGCCGTCAGCTCCCACCTGGAGCGGCACCGGCGGGTGCACACGGGCGAGCGGCCCTACCGCTGCGGCGACTGCGGCAAGAGCTTCGCCGTCAGCTCCACTTTGCTTGCCCACCGCCGCACCCACGTCGCCCAAGCGGGCCGGCCCCACGCTTGTCCCGAGTGTGGCAAAGGGTTCAGCACCCCGCTGAGCTTGGAGAGGCACCGGCGGCTCCACCGCGGCGAAAAAACCCTACCAGTGCGGCGTCTGCGGCAAGGGTTTCGCCTGGAGCTCCCACTTCGACCGGCACCGGCTCACCCACACGGGCGAGAAGCCTTTTTCCTGCGCCCACTGCGGCAAACGCTTCGGCCGCAGCTCGCACCGCAACCGGCACCAGCGGGCTCACGGCGTGGGGGGGGGGCCCGAAAAGCGCCACGGTTGCCCCCAGTGCGGCAAAACCTTCGGCCTCGCCGCCGCCCTGGCGGCTCACCAACGACTGCACGTCGCCGCCGGCAGCGGGCTCTCCTTGCTGCCGCCCTCCTGGTGGGATGGAGAGAAGCCGGGGGGCACGCCGACACCCCCCGAGCTCTGGGCGGAGGAGACCGGCTCCGTTTTCCAGCAGCACCCAGTGCCTTCCTCCTCCTCATCCTCCTCGTCCTCCTCTTCCTCCTCCACGGCACCTAAAGGCTGGGCTGCCAAAGCTCTCGTGCCCCCCAGCGTGGCGTGGAGACCTGGGGAGGGGGACGCCCTGCAAAGCGATGCAGCGGCCCCCCAAGAGCCTTGGGCGTCCCTGCCGCCCCCCAGCTCCTGAGATGGGGGCAGAATTTGGGGTTGGGGGTGGGGGACAGAGCCACCCCCTGCTTTTTGGGATGCTCCAGAGCTGGGGTGGGGTCCCCCATCCTCTGGAAGGGGGTGTAAAGGGGATGTTTGGGAGCTGGGGGGGGGTCCAGGACACCCTGGGGTGTGTTTGGGGGGGTTAGGATGGAACTGAGGGGGATGAAGTGGGGAGAGGGGGCACACAGAGGGAGAATGGGGTGAGGGGTGGATTTGGGGAGGGCTGGCTGATCACCCTATAGCCCTTTCCATCCTCTGTTTTGGGGGGGTTTGGGTGCACGGGAGGGGATCAGCAGCAAAAATAAACAGGGTTCACTGCGGGGACCCCCTGCCATGGGGGGATTTTGGGGAGAAACGGCTCGGGAAAGAGAAAAAGGGACCGGCCCCAACTGCCCCAAATATGCTTGGGTCACACCGGAGCCGGTTTGGGATGCGCCGGGGGGCTCGGGCAGGGATGGAGAGGCTGGCTTAGCAGGTAATAAAATAAAGGGTAGTTCACCAAAAACCCCCTCTCTGTGTGTCTCGATGTCTTTTATCCCCGGAGCACGATTTCCCCAGCAAGCCCAGCTCCTAACTGGGGGATTTTTCCCAGTAGGATCCAACCCTAACCACATCCCACAGGCTCCACGTGCTTTAAAACCCCTCCACACATTTCCCACTGGGGGCGGCGATGGGATTTGGGGTTAGCAATGGGATTTGGGTTGTGGTGCAAGGAGAGCCAGGCACAGCTGGCTGTAGGGCATGGGATTTACATTTTTCCCCTCTTTCCCCCCCAAAAATCTCCCTCCCCGCTTGCTGCGCCCTCAAGGTCTGGTTTATCCCCACGGTTTCCCCATCTCCAGCCCCAAAAAGCAGACCCGAGATGGAGCAGGCACAAATAACCACGTATTTTGGCACAAGGACAGCCCCAGCAACCCGCGTCGACCCTTCCCAATGCAAAAGGGCACCGTGTGTCCCCTGGGAAGGGGTTTCATGTCCCCAAAAATGTCCCTTTTTTGAGTCCCCAGCACCAAGGGTGCACACAACGTTCCCCCAACGCTTCTAGGAGACATCAGGAGGAGAAACCCCGATGAAAGAGGGTGATGAAAAAGTGTCCCTTGCTGTCCTTTGCCTCGTCCCCATCCCAAAGTTTCATTTCGGGGTCCTTCATTGCTCCTCTCCGCTGCAGTCCCCGGGCGGATTCGCCAACCCCACGGCGCAGCAGGGCGCAGCGAGGGGCTTTCCCCCCACCGGCTGGGTCCTTGAGGAATGGGAGAAATCCACTTTGGGGAGGTGGCTGCGGCGGTGCTTGGTGAGGTGGGAGCTCTGGCTGAAGGCTTCGCCGCACTCGGGGCACTCGTAGGGTTTTTCCCCGGTGTGGACGCGGCGGTGGCGCTCCAGGTGGGACGCCCAGGCGAAACCCTTGCCGCACTCCCCGCACGTGTAGCTCTTCTGCGCCGCGTGGCCCCGCTGGTGGGCGAGGAAAGGGGGGGCCTCCCCGAAACGCTTCCCGCACTCCCCGCATTTATAGGGCCGGTCGGGGGAGTGGGTTTTACGGTGCTGGAGGAGGTGGGCTTTTTGGGCGAAGCGCTCGCCGCAGCTGCCGCAGGGGAAGGGGCGCTCGCCCGTGTGCACCCGCCGGTGCCGCTCCAAGTGGGATGCCCAAACGAAACCCTTCCCGCAGTCGCCGCAGCGGTGGGCGCGCTCTCGCCGGTGACCCCGTTGGTGCCTTGCCAGGGCCGGCCCCGCACGGAAAAGCTTGCCGCAATCCCCGCAGCGCAAAGCTTTTTTCCCCAAATGGGTGCGGCGGTGGCGGGCCAGGTCGGAGCTCTGGCCAAAAGTCTTGCCGCACGCCGGGCACCGGTGGGGCCGCTCGCCCGTGTGGCTACGGCGATGCTTGGCCAAGTGGGAACCTTGGGTGAAAGCTTCGCCGCACTCGGGGCACCCAAAGGGTTTTTCCCCGGTGTGGACGCGGCGGTGGCGGGCGAGGTGGGAAGCCCAAACGAAGCCTTTGCCGCAGTCGCCGCATTTGTGGGGTTTTTCGGCCGCGTGGCCCCGGCCGTGCGCCGCCAGCTCGGCCGCCCCGGCGAAACGCTTGCCGCACTCGCCGCATTTATGGGGCCGGTCGCTGGCGTGGGTGCGGCGGTGCTGGAGGAGGTGGGAGCTTTGGCTGTAGGTCTCGCCGCATTCGGGGCAGCCGAAAGGCCGCTCGCCCGTGTGCACCCGCCGGTGCCGCTCCAAGTGCGAAGCCCACGGGAAGCTTTTCCCGCAGTCGGCACAGCCGTAGGGTCGCTCCCGTGCCGAGCCCTTGCCGCTTGCACCCCCCCGGAGGGGTTTGGCGCAGTCTAATTTGGGGGCCGGGGTGGTTTTGGGGAGTTTGGTGAGGCCGTGGGGTACGGCTTTGTCGGGCCGTTTGTTTTCCTCCGGTTGGAGCCCAAAGTTTTGGCCCTCTCCGGGCTGCGGGACGGGCGCGCTTCGAGCTCCTCGGGGATCTGCTCGGCGGCGCCTTCCTCCGCGGCTTTTTCGCTCACCAGCCCCTGAGGCTGCTGAGGAGATTGGGGAGGAAAAAGGAAAAAAAAAAGGGGAGAGCGTGGCTTCAAACTGGAGCAAGGGGGGGGCATTTAATAAATGGAGCAGGTTTCCCCTATAAATTTGGGTGTCCCGAAGGGGAAAAAGAGAGGAGGAAGGAATTGGGGACATGGATACGCATGAGTACCCCACGAGCTCTTTTCCAATTAATACATGCAGAAACCCATATTTTTTTTTCCAATTAATTAACATGCAGAAACCCATAATTTTTTATTTTAAAAGAGGAAATATTAAGGAAAACACCGGGGTTTTGGGGAACCCCCCCTTGAAACCCTCCTGGATTCCTCCCTCCCCGTTCCCGTCCCGCTTCCTTGCCCTTTGGGGAAGGGGGAAATAAAACTAGGGCGGGGTGAAAAGGGATTGGGGTGCTCGAGGAGAAAAAGAGGGGATCGGGATGGGGGTGGGGGGTTGTTTTTTACCAAGGGACATCAGCGTTTCGTAGCTCTCCTGCATCACGTCCCGGTACAGCGCCTTCTGCCGCGGGTCCAGCATCACCCAGGGCTCCATGGCACGGGGGGGGGGACACGGGAACAAAAGATTTGTGCCGCCCCTCCTCGCTCACAGCCCCTTAAAACCTCCTGCGGGGAAGAGAAATCCCTAAAACGGGGGGAAATCCCCCCAGAAACGCTTCTCACTTGGGGTTTTGATGCTTTTCCCGGGCTGAATTTGGGGTTTTCTCTCTCCCTCTCGCAGCGCACGCAGGGTCCCCCCCCGCATAGGATTAAACCCCCCCCAGGGGGGCAGGAGGGTCCCCACTGCCTCGACAGGGATTTGGGGGAAGAAATGATGAAATCGGAGCTTCTGCAGACGGCTGCAAAGGGGGGCAAAGGAGGTTTGGGGGGCAGAGTTCTCCCCATAATAATTCCATGTCCCTCCCCATAATAAAACTTCGCCCTCGAAATCTTCCCCCTAAAAATATTCCCCCCCCAACCCCCCACCCCATTTTCCCACCAAACCACATCCCACACCCTCTCTGCCTTCCTCCCCCCACCATCCCAGTTCCCCCAGTCCCCATCCCACTGGGAATCGGCCCTCCCGGACTGACAGCACCCTAGGGGGGGGTGTCCAGATCCCATTAACTGCCCCCCCCACCATCCTCTCCCCCCAAAAAATTCCGCTCCCCCCAGCGGACACCCCAAGGGCACGTCCTGCAACCTCCGACCCCTTTCCACCCCGTTACCTGTGAGCTCTGCCCTTCACCGGGGGGAAACTTCCCCCCCCTACACCGCCACCCCAATGCTTTTTAGGGGTGTTTTTGGGGTGCGTGGACCCCCCCGACAGCGGGGCACAATGGAGGCGATGCCGGGCATGGCTTTGCTCCGGAAGCCCAAGCCGGTATCCGGCAGAAAGGAGACGCCAAGAAAAAGCTCAGATCTTACCCAGAGCCCTCTAGAGGTAACCCAAACCCGGCTCCCCCCCCCCATAAACATCCCACTGTCCCTAAATACCCGGGGGGGGGTCACACACGGGGCCTGCTCCGTCACCTCCTTTCCCAAATATCTCCATGTGTTTTTGGGGGACCCCCGGCTCCTCAGCCCAGCCAAAATCCCAGCTTCTGGGTCCTTAAGGGTTTTTTTTTGGGGGGGGGGTTTGCAAGTTTGGGGTGCAGCGGGGGAATGGGGTGAGATGGGACAGGAGGGACACGGGGGGGTGGTTGCACTGTTGGTGTTGCTGGGGGCAAGAAATTGGGGGGTTTTGCCTAGAAATGGGGACCCAAATTGGGGGGGGGGGGGGTGATAAAATTGTTAAATTATGGGATTAAGGAAAGGAAAAGCTGCTTCCCCCCCCCCCCCCCCCCCCCCCCCATCATCTTTTGGGGTCTGTAAGAGGAAGGATAAAATGGGGAAGGGCTCAGGGTGAACTGGGGTGGACTGGGGGGCAACTGGGATGTTAAGGGTATGGGCGGGGTACAGTTTAGCTATGGGGTGCCAGCATATGGGACACGTGCCACGTATTGAGGGGGGCACCATAGGTCCCATTGCGTGCCATATGGCCCAGGACCCCCTCAAAATAGGGGGCAGCACCCCAAAAATTGGCTTATGGGGGGGGAATGGGGTGAGATATGGAGCTGGGTGGCATCCCAGGGATTATGGGGACACCAATCCCATTGTCACCCCGAGGAGATCGGGGCTCGGGGGGGACACCAGACCCCCTATTTTCATCAGCTGGTAGGCAAAAACAACTTGTTTCCCCCCCAAAAAATATATTTAAATTATTATTTTTTAATTATTCTTATTTTTTGGCGATTTAACCCCTCCCTGGGTGGGAAAGCAGCGATTTTCCTTTTAATTTCCTTCACCCAGGGCTTGGGGCTGGGGGATTATCCTAAATCCTGCCCCCTCCCTAACGCACAGGCATTTAACCCCTTCCTCCCCGGGGCCGGTTGCTGCAACCTCCCCCTTCTTCCCCCCTCCCCATCCCTCCTCAGCAGTGGATGGATGATCCCAAGGGGTCCAAGCCCTGGTTTTGGGGAGTTTCACATTTAGGGTCTTTGGGATTTGTCTGGGGAACGTGTTTAAGGGGCTCCAGACATTGGCTTTGGCTCTACCCCTGTCCCAGCTCCTAAAACCTCTGCAAAATCACTCCAAACCCAGAAGCCCAGCCCTAAATAAAGAGAATCGGGGGCAAAAAAACTCATTTATTCCCCCAGATCACTAAATAAATGTAATTTTAGGATGTCGGGAGCAATCACCCTGCTTCCAGATGTCCCCAGTGGGGCTTCCAGCCCCTGACCAGACATTTGGTTCGGTCTCAGCTCCCACCAGAGCCTTTTTGGGGCATTTTTTGGCCTCCCACCAGCATCACGGTGGGCAGCTACACATCATCCTACATTTCCAGGATGCTGAAGATGCTCCCTTTTGGAAACCAACCCCAAATACCCCACGTTGGCATCACGGGGCGCTAGGCCCGGTGGCCATCCCTACAGGAACCAAGAAGGCGAGAAAAGCTCCGAGTTTATTTTTGTTATCATTTTTATTTCTCCTTCACTTTTTTTCTTCGTCTTCTTTCCCCCGGGGCTTAAAACGAGGGAGAAGAGGCAAAACATGGTGGTGAGAGGCGTCCCTCACTGCGTGCTGCGGGGCACGAGGGAGGGAAACCTCCCCCCTCTTCGCCTCACGATCTTCTCGGCGGCGGCCCTCAGCTCCGTGGTGCCGATGAAGGACCCTCGGCGTTGCTTCCTCCAACGATCTGCCTCGCTCACCAGCCCCTCGCTGAAGTTGTCCATGAAGGAGTTCATCAACTTCTTCGCCCTGACCGACATGCGCCCGGCTACCGGTGGCACGAGGCCTGCAGGCCCGGAGAGCCACCTCCAGTTGGATTTCTTCTTCAACTGGGAATTGAGTCCCTTTGGGACTGGTTTCCAGCTCCCCGACCTTCTCTGCTTAATGGGAGGCTTCATCTGCTGGGCTTTCTGCTTCCTCCTCCTCCTCCTCTTTTTTTGGGGGCTGCCCTCGTTGCTTGGTGGCTGCGGCCATGGGGTGTCCTTCGGCGGCCTCGTGGTCCTGACTGCAGGGGTCCCGGAGCTTTTTTAGGGGTGGGTACAGGCAAATGAGGGCTCGACACCACAGTTGGCTGGCGAGACAGGGCTTCTGTGACATGATGCATAATTTGCATAAAGATCTGAGCCAGAAAATCCCACAATTCGGGCAAAGAAAATGCAGAAATACATAAAAACACAGATATATGTAAATACATATAGTACATATGCATTTAAATGGCTTAATTCCCAAGAAAAGCCTCAAAAACATCCACCCCAGATCCACTTGCTTTTATTTGAAGGTTAATTCTCGAGGATGAGGAGGGGGAGGAAGGCTCCCAGCGGTGTCAGGATGGCCGAGTGGTCTAAGGCGCCAGACTCAAGGCTCTGCTTTCCCTCCCTGGGGTTTTCTGGTCTCCGAATGGGCGTGGGTTCAAATCCCACTTCTGACACACCTTTTCCTTTGCCACCTCAACCCTTTTCGACCCCTCCCGCGCGCGGATTAGGGAAAAACGCCGATTTTCCCCCTTTTTTTGGCGCTAAAACTCGCTGCTGCTCCCATTCCTGCGCCCAGCCCTTTGCACCCACGCGTGGGCGGAGGCCACGAGTGGGTCACGGCGAGGAAATAGGGAGGGAAACGCTGTTTTTGGGGGGTCCTGGCTGCCGGGGGGACAAACGCGACCCCCCCGTGGGCTGGGTCCCCCCGCGATGGGGTCCCGCGTGGGGCCGCGCCGGAGCCGTGCTTTTAACGCTTCCCTGGTGGTCTAGTGGTTAGGATTCGGCGCTCTCACCGCCGCGGCCCGGGTTCGATTCCCGGTCAGGGAAACTCCTTTTCCCCCCACCAAAATTACTTTTTTTTTTTTTTTTTTCTGTAACAACCACAATCTTTTATTTTATTTTATTTTATTTTATTTATTTTATTTTATTTTATTTTATTTTATTTTATTTTATTTTATTTATTTTATTTTATTTTATTTTATTTATTTCATTTCATTTCATTTCGTTTCATTTATTTTATATTTATTTTATTTCATTTCATTTATTTCATTTTATTTATTTATTTTATTTTATTTTATTTATTTCATTTATTTCATTTTATTTTATTTATTTTATTTTTTATTTATTTCATTTCATTTCCTCAAATTCAACCCTAGAAGCACACACTCACACTCTCACATTCACCATCTAAAACCATCATGACCCCGCTGATTTTTCTTTCTAAGAATCACTGCTTTAATTGCCATGTCTAATATCCCGACGAGGGCAGGGCCGGGCTGTCACCACCGCTATCCTGGGGCAGTTTAGGGTGTTGTGACATTTTCCCTGCACATTCAGGGATTCAAATCATCGCAATTTATAGAGTCAGGTGCATGTAAGCATCACCTTGCAGTAATGAGGATGGAAACTTTAGGGAAGTGGTGGAGTCACCATCCCTGGGGCTTTAAATGATTTAGATGTAGAGTTTAGTGATATGGTTTAGTGGAGGACTTGTTAGTGTTAGGTCAGAGGTTGAACTCGATGATCTTGAGGTCTCTTCGACCTAAAATTCTCTGATTGTGAAACATTTATTTTTCTCATATAACACCTACAGACTCAAGTAATGAGTCAACTACTCGCTAATAGTCAACTACTCACTAATGAAATTATGAACCTCATGATAAAAATAAATAAAAAACCACTCTGACACCACCAAATGCTGCCAATTTTGTGCTTTATTGCAGTGCTGATTTTAATATCTCCTTCCCTGCAGGCCTTCCACCACACGCTGGTGGTCGCACAGATCTTGACAGCAGCTTTTCAGTTTTTTGCTCCCTCTCCTTGGGCCTTTGGATCTTGCTCCCGAGGGGTTCGAGGAAGGGGGGAGCAGGGGGAGGGCCTCGCTTTTTAGTGCCCGCTTCTCGCGGCCACGCCGGTCGCCTGCCTGAACCTCTTCGGCATCACGCGGCGGAGGGCGGCTTGGACGTGCGAGGGGCCTGCGACGGGATGGCGGCTCTCCCTCCTCAGCCGGTCGGCCTCCTTTGAAACCTGC